TTTCGGTGTTTTTCGTTGTTACGAAAGGAACACCCTGTGCAGTTGTAGTTCCTTTGAAGTTCTTAACCTTAACAGGTTATTATTTACGTGCTGAGAGATCGAGGTAGTTTGATCATTTGTCGTTTCTGTCATGTTATAGACTTTATTATTATTGAGGCAAAGGCCACAGGTCTTCTAATGCGTTGCACCAAGATTCGTTATGACGAGACTTTGTTCCATTTAATTACCTGTTAATTTGCCGGGCTGAAGAACTGCAACTGACGAGGATGCGCCTCACTTACAGGCTGGTTAAGTATAGAGTTCATTATATTTAAGACAGCCCACAATTATTGAATTCATTCCTGTTTATTATTGAGGTTTCTAACGTGACTACGCATGTTCTTCTACGTGAAAACATGTCGTGCATAAAAACAGTAATCCCACAGAAAACTGAAACATTTAGAGGCAAGAGCCCACTAGTTGATTTACTGGTGTAATAGCTGTTTGGGTTTCGAATGAATACGTTAAATGGAGATCCATCAATCGCCTTAGATTCGTTATTCGCAAACTTTTTTAGTTTCCTCCCAAGATCTCCGGTTGTTTATTGCGATGGTAAATCAATATGAAATACAACTGACTGCTTAAATAAGTTGGTTTCTTGCTCAACTGAAGCAATGCGAAAGATAAGTAATATATTTCTTCATTGAGTAGTGGTACCACTCTTTAAACCGTCATACGAAATGGAAATTGTATTTTAAAATTGCTTTAAGTCTATAGTACAAACGTAACAGTAATCTCACAGCTACATCAACTGACGAAGTCCGCCATCCGAGAATCAAAGTACCCATATGCATCAACTTTAAAGAGCCACCCTGTAAGACTACAAAGTGTAATGAGGATGCGTTTCGCATCTGAAGAGATTCTGCAGATTCAGTTGCGGAAGTAGTTTTTACTGCACATCTCCTTTTAACTGTCGACTTGTAAGTGCAACCTTTTCTCCTGGTTTAAAGGCCGGCATTCCTAAGTAAGGGCAACTAGCACAGCGGAAGGCATCTCCCAAGTAGCACTATTAAAACAAAGAGAAAGACACCACACTAAGGCCTCATTCATTATCTTTGATAAAAGATATCACTGTGTACCATTGAATCTGAACCAGGAATTAGTCAGATGAGGATACTCATTCAAACACTGCACTACCACTCATCTCCAGTCTCCCTAAAATCTCCAATGCACTAGCGCCCTAAACTCTTATTGTAGACGTGTTAAGGGTCCAAATGTGACTTCTCTTGCACAATCACCTGTTAGTCTAACCCCAACATGAACTTGTGTTTGTGTGACTCAAGCCAATAACCACAAAATATTATTAAACATTTCCTTACAGACTTATTTGTATAAGAATGAATATGACCCCATTTTAAGACTGTTTTTTTAACTAGAAGGCGACGTGGGAAAATGGGGTGGAAACCAGGAGAAATTTATGTTAGTCAGTGCTTTCCATTTTCAAAAAGGGGAGGACTCACACTCCCACATGACGATGTCACAGTTTTCTTTGCTGGCGTCTTTCCTTGTTCAAGTTCCTCAGCCAAACCGCATGTGCTGCAAGTGAACAAGACCAAACCACTGTGAGGCAGATGGTAAGTACAGTTGTGATGAACAACATGCCTTTGGGACTTTCATTCATAAAAAGTACAAAAAAAAAAGGACCCCTGATATTTTGTCAATTGATGCAACAGTGACCAAAGGAAAAGGTTTAAAGAAATGTAAAAACTTTGTATTAGTCATGTTTTCAGGTTTATACTTTTGGTAATTACCATAATGAGTCCTTCAGCCCCCCAAAATTCCCTTGTTATTGTCATTGAGAATCATTCTTGAGCCCTTTTCTAAAAACATATTACTTAAAAATATTTGAGAGATACCATGCAACATACCAATTCTTGCAAGCTTTTTTCTTGCCTGCCTTATTTGTACCACAATCACCTGTAATGCAATGTCATAAGCAAGCAGCTCAATTCAAATACCTCTGCTCTACCCTCTAAACAAAAATCCAAACACAGCGTCCTGTAGTGAACATCACTGATCATCAATTATCCAGTAAGACTGGTAACAATAAGTATTTTCACACATTTTTTAAAAAGTAATATGCAATATATATTATTCACCCTACACATAAGAAGGAGTAAAACACACTTTTAAGTGATGCAGGATCTGGTTTTCTTAAATCTTCCTCATCAAGAAGAGTGTCTGAATCAAGAATATCCTATGAAAGGAATAAAATTATGATGACAACCACAATTCACGGAGAAACATTTATCCAGAAACCAGTGAATGAAAGAACAATGATATTTGACAAATTGGAACCATTTTCAGATAATTAATTTTAATAACAAAGACACATCCTCAAATGCTATATGAATAACTTACTATCTCTTCATCATCAATATCTTGTGCTGATAAAGTCCAAATCTTGGTCACATTTTCATCTTTGACCTTTGGCTTCAAAGCTGTTAAATAAATAGTCAAATTACAGAGGACAAAATTGGAACAAAAACATGCAATTAAAGAAATTTGCCTAATCTTATGCAAAGCACCTGACAAACTTTAGAATGATAACAACGACAGTGTTAAGAAACCTCTCCGTTTCATGATTAGTTAAAACTGGACAAAAGTGGAAAGTAGGGAAATAAATACAGCCACACAAACACAGGAAGGAGATGATGAGTGAACAGATATCAGGGACATATGATGAAATTGTCACCAGTAAGAGCAAAATCATGTTATTTTTTAATTCCCACAATTACTTTCAAATTAACCAAGGTAACAATCTAAGTTTTGATTAAAAATTTTTCCTTAGTTTAAATTTTCAACTAAAGAGAAATGTGCACAACAGCAAATATTGAATCTGAATACTGACCAGCCTTTGATCTGAAAGAAAGTGGAAGTTGTGAACTAGCTCCTACATCAAAACTTGGTTTGAAAGCAGAGATCTAAAATAAAATCAGATACATCCTAAGATATTTATCAACAAACCAATAATTAAAGAAACTGGCTAAGCATACACTCTGTTTCTGTTTCCTTTGAGAAAAATAAGTGAAACATACCACAATACAAACTATACATAGGGCACTTGACTTACCTGAATGACTTTCCCATCTCCAAATTTCTCCTTGAAAGCAGTGCTCTCATCTACACTCAAATTCAGTTCTTTTGGCTGTAGATGAAAGTTGTTTTGATATGTAAATAAAATTACTGGATGAACCTCCTCCTAGCTATTTGAAACCAGATCTAAACCATGATAGAGCAAGGGAAATGGGAAATGAGACTCAACACACGAAACCTCTATACTGCTTTCTTTGTTTATATCCATTCATTTTGAAAAAAAATAAAAAAGTAAAAAGTCCAAAAGGAAGTCATAACACCCAACTGTGAGGAACTTTATTGTTAAAATTGAAAGCATTTACAGTACTTACGACTGAAATATCAACAAATCCAGAAAGTTTCAGTGCAGATATTAGTTTTTCAGAAGGCCTCAGATCTCCACTTGTTCCTGATGTGAAAGATTAAACATTTAGGGATAAAAAGACCTTTTCTTTTCCAAAAGTTAGACAAATGCAAATTACGTTTTCAACAGAGTATCCATGAACCAAATCCCAGAATACATTGTTAGTTTTAATGTTACAGGGTAAAGTTGTGTAAGAATAATACTTAAAATCAAATCATTTTTGTAATTCAATTTATTATGCTAGCAATGTACATAAAACTTTTCTTGTAATCATAAGACATATTCTTAGCATAGAGGCTTCAAAACATACAACAATGAGAGATCCCCTGTCAACCTGAAGGAATATTTCATTAAATACACCATTAGCAAGTGGTCAAGATAAGCACCATTGCACCAAGTTAAGTTCCTTGACCATATCCACAGCATAAACATACCTGCAGGCTCTGCAAGAGTTAACTTTCCACTGGGCTTTAAAATTCTAGCAATTTCTGCCAGAGTGTCCAGGCCATGAACCAGGAAGGAAGGAAACATCATCCCAGATAAAACAACATCAAATGAAGATTCTGGATGAGATGCTAAAGGAAAAAATCATTTTGAACATTGTTAAAATGCTGTTAGAATACACCAAGCCAGTAAACAAGTAATCAAAACTGTGCCAAGCTAACGGCCTCTCAGTTTCATTGAATATTAGTTTTTGGACTTGTGTTGACTTCATAGTATCCATTCATGCTAGTATCTTGAGAAAAAACTTAAAAGAGGAATTAAAACTTATCTCATCAATACATTTTGTCCTCAAGAGAAGATAACCACCCACATGACTGAGTGCCCTCTGTAACAAATCAATTAATCTACAATGTAGATTGACAGAAATTAACATTGGGTAGTCTTTATTCAATATTCTGATGTTACTCCATTAATTATAGCCATCTTGACGGCTCATGATTTAATCTCATCAAGTACTCAATAACTAGTATTTGAATTACTAACTATTTTCTCTATATTTAACTTCAGGTCATACTACGTAATAATTAGAGGCGATCCCATTGCGATTCATGTCTTGATATAAAATGTCTCATTTAACAGAAGATCGCACATCATATCAAAGTGAATTTCTAGGCATGGTTCTTTTGAAATCCAAAACCCCACCTATCGAGAAATAAATCGGCCGAAATCGTTTGACGATAATATCGAATAACTAGGGAATCATTATGACTCATCAGAACATCTTAAAATACTTACATAACTTCAGTCTTTCCTCATTCTCGACGGCAACAATACCCGTAGATCCAACTGATGAGTTTAAATGAACCACGAGCTCTTCTATTTTCTTCGGAGGAGCAATTCCTGACCAAATAACAAGAATACGCTGACCCTGTTCCACCTCATCTATCTCGGCCATTTTGACTCATTCGTTCTCTGTACTTTTCGTGTATCACTTACATGAACATACGAATGTGCTACATACGAATCCCGCTTATCTCAATCCCAGACCTATCGGCCCAACGATTGAGAAATTATCCTGGGAACAAGGCTCATTTGGACTGGGACATTTTGTGCCCCATAGACATATATGTTTTGGTAAAACCAACATGGCGGACGTTGAGGGAAAGTTGTGCAACGAAGTAAATGTTGCTGAAAGCAAGCGGGCCGGTAAAAGGAAAGCAAAACAAGTTACAAAGAAACAAAGAAAGGTCTGCTTTACTTAAATCTTATACATACATACATGTGGACATAGATATCATTGATATGGAAAAAAAAACGATAAATACTGTCAGTAGATAGCCTGAGATAGATTATGTTAAGATTACCATCTTTTTTTTGAGTAAGAGCCGGCGGCAGGGTTCTCCTTATCAGGCGGTAACTGGTAAAATTTACCGCTTGCAAGAGCACTTATTACCGCCTGCAAACGCTCAGAACCCTAAAAAAATACGCATTTATGGTGAGCTAATCTGGTAAGAAAGTGTAAACAAGCCAACCGTGTGCACTATTATAGATCTACGTGTGCTCTAGTTAGCTAACACTGACTGTTACCTTTCGAATTTCGAAGCAAGAGTGATTTTTCGCGGGCTTTCTGCTAAATCTCATGACATTTGTCAGTTCTCTACACGTGCAAATGTGGTGTCGTTTAGTTTCTGTCCAGTAACAAGAGGTCACGAAGAGTGGCTGCTAAGCTTTACAAGAATTTTAGGGGTAAACAAAACAAAGGTTACGTACTAGCGATGGAAAACATATTCTGGCACATCCAGCCAATTGCCAGAAATAACCGCCTTGACAGCTCTACAATTGCCGGCTGTATAACAAACACGTGGGGAAAAAGCTAGTCTTCATCATGTAATTCTACTTGAAATGTGTTTCAGACAATGGTTTGAAAGAAGCCTCGAAATAAAATCTCTCAGCACTGTAAAAGTTCTGAATTTGAGACGATTAGAAAACGAATTCAGCTATTCAATGTGATTTGATTTCATAGCGATGCAATTCGTAGCTGACACTGCTGATTTTCCAGCAATATACCATGTAAGTGATGCCAAAGATATGACCTGAAATCGAAGGGAGACCAGTTTACATCATAAGCAGTTTGGAAAGGGCATAGTCAAACATAATGCTTTTAAACAAAATTTTACTTTGTTTTGTTCAACCTCTGAACCTAAAGGTGTATTGTTCACATTATTGATTTTTCGCTGGAAAATTTTTGACAGGCACAATGTACTGTATGCTTCAGAAAATGACAAAGTTGAGAATGATCAGTCACCTGAAGCTGCAAATGTGCTTTACTGGTTTGAAAAGGTCCCTCACCTGTTGTGCTGGAAACTAGGGAGAACCCTGTAAGAGCTGTTTGTTTACCTAAGTATGTGTCTCTGAGTCAAGAAGAACTGACTCCACATCCCGTTTTCTTTGTCACCTGGAAGTATGGAGCTTCTAAAAATTTTCAAACAGTTAAAAGATTATTTATATTAATCCCAGGCTACTCAGGCAAGGAAAGTTACAAACAGTGGGGTAATGGGTTTTTAAAAACAATTTTTCTGTGAATTTGAATTATCTGGCTCACTGTATTTTGATTCAGGCTCCAATGCCAGAGGGTATGGTTTTATGATTATGCATTGATGTACTTTGTATAATAACAGTCAGTGACTTTGTATTCTTAAATTTGGTTATATTTTCCATAAAGTTTGAATTTTATTTGCAGTCATGATTTTTCTTTTGCAGATGCAATATTTGGCAGGGGCTGATCAACTTTAATTCTGTTTTGGCAAAATTTAGACTCAAAAGCATAAACCAAAGGTCTTAAGTCCTTTATTTGGCTTTTTTCTCCCCCCTTATGACATTCAAGTTAAAGGAGGAGGTGTTCAATACATATTGGATTCATTTCTAGCTGCAACATGATTGATTATTCTTAACTTGGTTTGAAGCACATTCACCTTGTTAATTCAGTTGATTTACAATTGAATAATCTCTCCATTTTGTCATTGATTTTGACAGTGTAGTATGTATAGCCGTATTATTTTCTGGTCACTTTCTTTAATTTAGAAAGCTATCAAAGTTGAAAAAAACACCAAGAGTGCAGGATTTGATAAAGAAATATTCCTTGAAACCACATGTTTTGTAAGAAATGGTGAGTATTAAATACAGTCTTGACTGATTATGCAATGGAGGGCTTACTGTTGTTTCTGGCCGTTGATGTCTCAATCAGTTGAAAGTTTTAACTTCCCTTTCAGCAACCCATGGGTATTTGACTGTCGTCTGTGCCTGAGAGGTGGGGAATTTGAAAGGAATCGTCAAGTCTTTCTATCAGAATACATGTGTTTTATCTTTTGATATGGAGGTCTTTTAAGGTGAATAGTTCACTTTCATGAGCCATAGACTCAGAGAAAAAGGTCTATGCCAAGGTCTTGGTTATTGTGTGGAAAGTCACAGTTTGTGATTTTGCCTTTTACATGAAAAATTGACTATTAACCCATTTCACGTTAACATCAGTATGCATATTCTCTATTCTGTTCTATATACATTTCCTAAGGTTCTGAAAAGGAGAATTTGTTTAATAGGGAAGAGTTTTTTTTAGTTGTTGGCATTTGAACACAATTTTGGTGCAGGGGGGTGGAAATTTAAATGAATTTTAAACACTAGGTGAAACAGAGTGGTCAGATTACTTGCACCAGTGGATAAACTGCATCTTGAAAACAAGACTGTTGTGAAAATCATGAAAGAAATAGCTCTTGATGCCACAAATTTAGAGACAAATTAGGAATTATTATTTGAATACTATTGTTTGGAATCTATTTTGTTGGAATGTGGATATTACATGTATGTTCAGGACTCCTCTTAAACTTTTTCCATAGTTTGATTTAATGATCACACCGTCAGTAATACTATTAGGTGTTTCTTTGGATCTAGATGTATATAACCTGGGCTTTGAATCTGTGGACCAAATTTTTCTGTTGTAGATATTAATCTCTGGAGTTATTGCCTTTACTTTGTGTGTTTTAGGTTTGCGATGTGTCTATCCTTATTATTTCACTTTCACTACCTTCTGCAAGGGACGCTGGGTAGGCCGTAGCTTGATTGATGTGTTTAAAGAAGAATTTCGTTCTGAAACACAGGAATACTATGTGAGTATTGAATATTGGATGCACCTCTTTTAAAACCAGTGTCAGTAACAATGGTACAATCTCAGTGAGCCCATAATACATATTTTGATCATTGAGTGGCAATTACTGGTAATTAATTTTCTCAGTGATTCCTTGTCTCCTGTAAGACTACAGTCTATATCATCCCTCCTTAATTGTCTGTGTGTGGCTTGAACACTCTGATAATTCTTGTTACCAACACTCTAGCATCCTTTACAAAAATTGCAAGGATTCAGTTTAGACATACACATACTCCCTTCATTTCAACTGAAACATAACTCTCTTTGAAAAACAATTTTAGGATTACTGAGTTGTTTTTTGGAATCATAATTTAATGCTGTAGCTTTGTTCTTTTGATTATTTATTCCTTTCTCTTTTGCACATTTACAGTGTTCCTGTGTTTTACATTTTGTTCATGTATTTCTAGGGCTTTCTTTAAACTAGATTATCATTAAAGAGAAGCAGAAGAGAGATCACATTAGCCTTTGAATAAATGTACTTTTATCAATTTTTTCTAACAGGAGAAGGCAATAAAAGCTGGAAAAATAACAGGTTTGAAGTCATTTATTTCTCTTTTGAAGTCTGTTGTTAGTAATAACAAAGTAATAGTTACTACTATTTCATTGACAACTGGTCAAAATTTACCACAACTCTAGTAAATATCATATATGTAAGAGGGAAAGGGACAGTTTCATCAAGGGGACATTTACTATCAACAGTTTTGCCATTTAAAACAACATGTATTTGTTTGCTATAGGAACCTTTTAGGCACACTGAACTGTACAGTGTACAGTAGCTTATGATGAAGGTGATTGGCTAGTAGAGGAAATAAATGGGGGAAGCTGGGGTCTCTAATCCATTTTCAGTGTCTGCTCATATGTTCTACAAACCTTTTAAGTTTTATATAACACACATTTTTCCACTGTCTTCCTGCAGTGAACGGTGAAATAACACTTCAAAGTAAAATTCTTAAAGACAATGATGTGATTTGCAACAAAGTCCACAGGTTTGATTTTTGCGTCCTTACTTTTTTCACTTTATTCCTCTCTGTTTCCTATGAATTTTGATTCTCATAATTCTATATCTGTGTGTCTATTGATTGAATACTCATAATGATTTTTATTTTCAACAGACATGAACCTCCTGTGACAGGGAATCCTATAAAGATAATTGCTTTAACAGATGAAGTTGTTGTTCTTGATAAACCCTCTTCAATTCCGGTGTGAATAAATTCTCTTTTGTGGAAAAATTTGTTTTATTTTTAGATAAACTTATGGAGAACCACAGGGAAACTTTGTTTACTTTATAAAGTAGATATCCTACAGATTACAGACAACCCATGTTGATATGCTTAATTGTTATATAGAAACTACAATATATGCTCCTGAATTTGAAAATTTTACAATGATTTATGTTGCATCAATCTTCATTTTCTAAATTTCATAATCACTGTTAAAGTGGCTCATTGTATTCCGCAACCTTTATTTCAAATGTTTGGCCCCCAATTCTTGACACTTTCTTTCTTTGTATTTTGGTCTTTGTATTTTGTGTAGTGTGCTTTAAAAAAGCAGGTGTTTTATCAGTATAAAGGATGTTTAAAGTGGTGAGACTGTGCATGCTTCCCTCCACAACTACATGTGTGGGTTAAGGAAAAATTCCAGGAATATTGTTCATGTCAGGGAATTTATAATGATCTTCAGAAATCAATTCTGTTTCTCTTGACTCAAAGAACTATTTTTTGTGTTTGTTTGTGTACAATTTCCTCTATGTTTGAATTTGAGGACATTTTTCTTAAATTTCCCATATGAAAGAATGATTGAATGAATTGGCATTAATTTCAAATGCATTGGTTAAGACAAGCATTACTTCCCTTTAACAAGGTATAAATAATAACAGTTACCTTGAATAGGCTGAATTACTTATATATATTTCACAGTTATAAAATGCTTAGATCCATGGAGGCAATTAATAAAACTTAACCATTTGACCTTACATTGCTAATATGATCCCAAGGTACATCCCTGTGGAAGATACAGGCACAACACTGTTGTGTTCCTTCTTGGAAAGGAGTTTGGATTGAAAAATCTTTTTAGTAAGTTTTTACCATAATGATGTAGTCGGTTTGTGGGTTGTTTTATTATATTTTGTAGTTAGCACATTCTGACATTAAGAAATGCAATGACAACTGTTTATGTGAAGATTATAACTGTTTCCAATGTTACTTTGCTTCCTTTCTCACAGCAATCCACCGTATTGACCGTCTCACTTCAGGAATTTTGATGTTTGCAAGGTCTGTGCCCATACTAATTTTAGATTCTGATAACTTAGAGTGTATGCTATAAAATTGGGGTGGTAAGTCCCCCTTCCCCCTTTGGCCAGCTATTTCCTTTAATAGAACTACTTTGCATTAAATAGAGAACAAGAAGAAGACAGTGGGATGATCTCTTACCAATAAATGTAATGATGTGAAAATGAAAATTATTGATTAACATTGACTGTGTAATCGAACTGATTGACAACTTTCTTTTCTAATGTTGATTAAATAAACTATTTGCAACATTACTGCAATAAGATTTCACAAGAGGGGTTCTTTGGAAGAATGCCATTTAGGGCATTTTTACAAAGGGGAGGGGGATTGTATCCTGTGGCCCAGGCTCACAAGCAGGGTTTTTTGGTTTTTAACCAAAAAGTCTGTGCATTTCCTTATTATAAGTTGAAAGGATGCAGGTATTAAGTTGAAATTATGTGATCTCATGTGATCAAGGTCTTGGAGAAGAGAGTGCTCTTGCCATTTTAACAATGAATGGCCAGTTGCTTGAATGCAGAAATGTGTTATCAACTTATTGAAATGTAATGCAGAAGTTTTGATTCTTATATTGAAAAGTGATAAGAGCCACATTTTTAATATATATACGTATATATATATCTTTGTATTTTCTTGTAATAATTATCATGATTATGCAAAAAAAAAATCACCATACAATCTTTGTTGTGGTTTGACAGAACACTGTCAAAGGCTCAAGAGCTTGAGAGTCAAGTGAGAGACAGACAAATAGAGAAGGAATACATAAGTAGAGTGCAAGGAGAATTTCCAAGGTGATGTGCTTTCTTTTTTAATGAAGAGAGGCATTGTTTGATTCAAGACCTAGTCTTCTACACATTTATACAGAACTGCATCTTCATTTGAAAGAAGACTCAATAATATGCTCTAGTCAAATTGGTGGCATCCAAAGTTGAATTTTTAACACATGTGAAGACAATTTTCTTATGGCCTGGACACACTTTCAAACCTTAGAACAAAGTTGTAAGGAAATTTTTGATGAATTTTTTTTATTAGCACAGTTAAAAATTATATGATCTCTGGAGCAAACTTCTCTTTGAAAGAGGGGAGGAGCAAAAGCTTAGGGAGTAGGAAGGAAATATCTTCTGAGAGGAGGGATGCACTGCCTGGCTGAAAAAAGCAATAGAAAGTCTGAAGGGGAAGTGTAAGAGAAGTGAACTGCAACAGGGAGATCTGATATCACATGCCCTTTTCTAGCCCAAGGTTATTTCTGCATCATTCTTTACGTCATATTCAGCTTCAGAGTGTAACTCCATGTACCAATACATGGATCTTAAAACAGTGTAAGTTCTCAATTGATATTCAAATAGAAAGGTCATTTTTCACCTCATATCATCAATTGTTAAGGTTAAGTGATTGCTTAGACAGAGAAATTTTAAACGTTCACGTTGTGTTTTCAGTGAGGAAGTCCTATGTGAGGAGCCAATAAAAGTTGTTTCACACAAGATTGGTGTGTGTCGAGTGAGTAAAAATGAGGGCAAGCCGTGTAAAACTGTTTTCAAAAGGCTTACCTATGACGGAAAGACAAGTATTGTGAAAAGTAAGTAACACTTGTGCAAATTTACCAAGTAATGTATTAAGTTTTTTCTAAGAGCTGAACTGTTCAAAAGTTCATTTACCTCTTCATTTATAGAATAGGAATAAAAGCTACTATAAAAATTTTCTTTGAATTGAATATCGTCATCAATACAAAATTACTCAGAACCCGAGTGCTTATAGTTCAGTTACAGCCAAATAGCCTATTAGTAAACAGACTTGTTACCCACCGGTATTGATTAAACAACCCAGAAAATTGATAAGTTAATTTCACAACTTCAAATTTACTTCTGTTAAATTGTGGTTGGTGAGGATTTTCTTTTGTTAAGTAAAAACTGTTTTTGCCCTTGGCAAATCGACTTCCTCTCTAAACTGTTATCACGCTGAAGGAGTTAATCTCTAAAAAACCTGGTTGCGATGGCTCGTTTCTACTAAATCTTACAATTAATTCAAGTTAAATGGGCTGTAAACGCTTTGATGTGTTGTGAAGGTTAGTTCTGGGAAGATATGGGCATTCACCAACTCACTTGACTGCACCACTAACTACATGTTTATAGTCCCCCACTCCTTTTTTTTTCATAAATGTTACGGAAAGAGTATTTGTTGTTGTTGTTAGGTGTTCCACATACAGGCAGGATGCATCAAATCCGTGTTCATCTTCAGTGGCTTGGTTATCCAATTGTAAATGATCCAATATACAACCATCAGTCGTGGGGACCCCACAGGGGTAAGGGTGGGGTGTCAGACCACCTGGTCCAGCAGGTAACAACTACCTTTTTTTAGGTCAATCCTTCGTTTGATATATAAAGTATACTGAATATTTACTTAGTGTATGACCCATTGAAAGACAGACATATGGATGGCATCATCTTCGATAAAGTTTTTTCCTTTTAATGTATATGTAAAACAAGCCGGTTCCTGTTCAATGCTACAGTACTCGGTTTTATTTTGTTACTTCTAAGACGTCCTATGTAGTAAGGACATCAGTGACACCCTCGCCTACGGCTCGTAGTGCATTTTAACGTCAGTGATCTATGACTGAATAGATGAACTTCATCATGGAATTAATAGAAATTACCAGTGTGTGAAAAAGGTCTTTTCGAGTGCTTGATGATGAGTTCCTTGGATTGGCGCAATTTGCGAGGACATTTTTTTCCAACTTTTTCTCGTGATTTCCATTGGTAGTACAATTCTGCTGGGATAGAAATTCAGGAACGTAATTCAACAGTTCTTGTGCTTTTTTCACATCACAAATGGCCTCTAATTTCATAGTATTGTTTTTCTTGGTACTATAGGTGATAGCCGAGCTTTCTAAATCTCCAAACATTGTAAACACTGAGAGCGGAACCTTTCGTGAAGATGACCTCTCGCGTCAACATCAACAAAACTCGACCAATGTGAAACACGAAGCAGTCACTATCGTTGAAAATGAATCACTGAAGCCAGTCTGCACCGGATATAAAGATATTGTCCCTGGGGAATCCCAGTCTTGTAAAGAAACAGAAGAGAAAAACACAGAACTGTATTATGACAAAGACTGTAGTGAATGCCAGATACAGAGGAGAGATCCAACTTCTGATGAACTCACCATGTGTTTACATGCTCTCTCTTACAAGGTGACTCACTAGAATGCGCCTAATCACCTGCTAGCCTTTTTTGTTACTAAAGTTTTTTTTTTTATGGAGGACTAAAAGCACTTCAGGATTCTGTCTTTCTCCTTGATATTGGGGTTTCATTTGCGAAAGAGATCGTCATTTTCGTGAATCGAATGTTGCATCATTTTGTTTGTTTGTTTTTTTTCATATCTTGTTCTTTCAAATCTATTTGGGTCGTACTTGGGCGAAAACTGCAGGTAGCTTGGATTTGAATTAGTCTCGAAATTTCCTTTTAACTTCAGTGTTGCTTCTTGGTTCGGATGTACGTGTATACCGCTAGAAATCAACTAAGTAAGGTTTCTCTTCTTACCTATGCATTGTGTTTATCTTAGGGGCCAGACTGGGAATTTAAGACAGACCTGCCAAGTTGGGCTAAAGAAGGAGTCAACTTTTCTGAAATCAGGCAAAACATGGAGCGGAATTGAACTTTTAAGCTGATTAGGGTCGAGAGGAGGGAAAAAGCATTCCTCTTTCAAGACACGAAGCATGAGCTTGTGCTTGATGGCACACGACTTGATTTGTACCAAGATGGCTGTTCAGGAAATTGAAACCCTTTCTTAGTTATAATTAAACGTCACGCTCATGTCCACGAATTTAAAGTTTTCATTAAAATAGTCATAGCAGTAGAGAATTTAGCCAACACCATAGAGATGGTCGCTGGTTGTTGCCCACTTGAATCTATGAGAAATTTAAAGGAAAAAGTCCTAATGACGAATATTTTGTAAGGAGGCTCTTTACTTCTATCATGGACGAAAACCCCTTTCTCAGGTTAGAAGGTCACGCTAATAGAAAGAAACCAGCGGAAAACGTCAGGTGTGAAATTTCCTGAGAAGGATTCATGCTGAACGGCAGGATCGGAACACTTCCTGGTTGGAGACAAAAAGTTCCTGTGGTACCAGGCTTGGGGGAGAATCACGGGTCAAAGCTGTGAAATGGTCTGTAAGACTTACAAAAAGGTCATTGATCTTGTTTGCAAGTAATTTGGTATTCATGGTATCCCTAAGAAACTGATGGACCACTCCTACTGGATGTCTTGGCCTGTGAGTGACTTTATTTGCCTCCACCACTTACTGGAATTAGTGGATTCCGCTTGAGCAAATTTATCATGATAGTATTAATTTTTGGTTTTTTTGACCTCGCACTGGACCTTGTTCCTCTAAAATTTGTAATTCGCAGAGTCCTTTCCATGTCTGAGAAATGCAGATTGTCTTTTGCGAATCCAGGATTTCAGGTTTTTAGAGATCCAGGGACGGTCAGTTGGGTGTCTCTTAACTATTTTTCGTGGAAGGAAGGAATCCACAGCAGAAGTAAGTTCCATTATCAACAGCCTGAACTTGTCTTGATAAGACTCATCATTAGGAACCGAGTACCAGTCTTCTCGGTCATCCAGCGCCCCAGCGCACGCCATGCGGTGTCGCGCATATCACGTGACTCTATTTTGATGACCGGTTTGTGTCTGGATGATAACATTGGCCTGGCCAAGATGGTATAATGATCAGAGGATGCGACTTTGGGCAATTGCGAAACACTGAACAACTTTGGTCTATTTGTAAAAAACCAGTCCAGCGTACCCGAGTCTCTAGTTTTGAAAGTTACAAGCTGCTTAAGATGGTTGGCTTGAGATATATCTTTTGATTTAAGTCTTGTCGTGTGATGATTAAAGTCGCCGGTAATTATAACCAGGGCATTTGGCTCGTCAGATAATAGCATGTCAAGATTTCTTTGAATGTGTTGCCGCAAAATCACATTCTCAGGTTCACGGTTCCCAGAAGAATGGCATATCACACCTAAGACAATTGATGTAATTTTCCTTGGTAAACTATGCGGCCTCGTTGATATCCAAGTTGATTCGACTTCAGCTTGATTACAAGATTCTTGGAGTTTACATGGCACTTTGTGATCTAAATAAAATACACACGCCTCCCCCTGTAGTAATTCGATCCTTGTGAAATAGATTGTCACCAGGGATAGCGGCACAAGAGTCTGGCACACTCCTGCGGCTATACGGTCGAATGTGTAAATGACGAACGAGTCCATGGCGGAGATACCATCTTGCGAGATCGAAATGTCACGATAAACTTGTTTCAGCACTCTGCGGAGGCGAATCCCAAAATTCTTCGGCTTCTGTGCATCAACTTGCTTTACGTGGACGAAAACAACATGCTATCCTTTCAGACCCTTTCGCAACATGGTTCGCTCTACTCTATACATGCCTCCAGACCTTCTTCCCCGGTAAATTCTCCTTAGCACCAATAATAAAGTTAGTTTGGCGCGGAGGTTTGCGTTTGTTATCCACTGCGAAAGGGAAGGGTTATCATTATTTCAGAAGAATCAAAAAGTCCGTTCTGTGATTGGTGATTTTATATGGCTAAATGTTAGCAGGTCAACGCTGAATACTGTGATTAGAGGACTTTGATAGCCACACTGGGTCTCATTCATTCCTTGCAGTAGACAGAGAGTCCATTCATGGTAATCAAGGGGGGGGGGGTGCATATGTACATGAAGAAAAGGGGAAAATCAGAAATGCATTTCGTATCTGTCCCATTCAAAGTTCAACAACCTTAACCTCGATAGATTTTATCGGGCAGCGCGCGTGATCTTCCTCATGAGGACTGCAAATCATAAGCGCCACATGTTCGTAGAACTCGGATTAGGCCCCTTTTCCTTTCTCCTTTAAACATTTATTTCTTGATTTTTTTTGCTTAAATAGGGACTGTTTCCTTCTCAAACGAATGCGGACTTGAAAACTACGAAGTGCACCTAAACAGGAAAAGAAAAATAAGTGAGATACTCGCCTACACACACGCACATAATAAAAACAAGAGGAAACAAAAGGGAAACAGAGCGCTTTAAAAACGTCATATCATTTACCGGTGATTTATCGACTTTTTTTCCTTAGCGGGAGCGTTCATCCGCTGACCTTCGCGCTCACGACACCATGGCATGTCTTACACCACAAACTTCGTGTAGAAAGACGTTTGAAAATGTCGGACACAGATCACAGTGCTGCTGACAGCAGTGAAGACGAGGATTATGTACCAGGTTAGCATTTTTTTTGATTCGTAAAGGCAAAGCAATAGTTTTCTTGAGAAATACAAAGAAAGGAAAAGTTTGTACACAGATAGGATAAAGTACTTCAGGTCACAATCAAGTTGTGTGACATTCATTGCATTATTAATTTTAGAGTGGCCCAAAGTCAACTCGAATCGTTATCAATTTCGCTATTTTCCGTTTAAAATTACGATCTCCACTTTTCGAATAATTGTGTTAGACGTTATCACCCAAAAATGTTTTTAATCTGTTTTTCTTTGAGAAAGGATTGTACTTTTTCTTGTCTGCGAGGTGCTGAAGATTTATTCATTGAGGGATGGAGATGGAAAAACAAAGTAAAGTCTGCTTTGATCGGCATTAATGATAACTCTTCCACTCTGAGTCTGATCAGTATTGAAATTCTCTTCACAATTTAAATGCACAGCCACTTATTTTCGTCAGGCATGTTATAAACTACTTGTAGTTTGTTGTTTGGATAGAACAACAATTCCCATGACAGCTAGACCCACAAACATATGTGAGGCTCAGTCAGGAGACACTCACTCTTTCATTAATTTCTATATTCTGCCTTTATTCAATGATCTACTAGCTTTTAAACCTATTAAAATCCTCTTACTTGCTAAAAGTACTTTTTCATCATTTGTTTACATCATCGTTGTTTGGATACAGCAATTCTCACAACTCACCCACAAATATATGCGTGGCTCAGTAAGGAGACACTCACTCTTCCATTGCTTTCTATATTCTGTCTTTATTCAATGATCATTGAACTAGCTTTTAAACCTCTTACAATCATCTTACTAACGGTACTTTTACATCATTCAGTAGTCAAACAGTAATTTCATTTCAGTTGGTACATTAGTACTTGTTGCCATAGTAATCATCAGAACAAGATACAACATCATCAGTAGGGGGAATTACTGTAGCTCTCAGATCACATGGGTCCAAACTTCCAGCTTGATTTATTCATAATTGGCCCTTATCACAAAGTCTTACCAATAAGTGGGTTTTATGTCTGAAACCAGGAGTTCTGTTTTGCAAACTAGGTAACTACTGTCAGCATTACATTTTATCCAAAAAACACACAATGTATTCATTGATTATTGATCATATTGTTGTTTCTATGAGAAGAACAGAATAGTGATGAAGAGTGTAGTGGAGATGAAGATAATAAAAAGAACAGAGTGAGAAAGGGTGCTAACAAAACATCAGGGTAAGAAAAGTGAAAGGAAATGAATTGGTCTGGAAGTATTCAATGAAAGCTGAATGTAGTCTGGCTAGATCATAAAATATTGTGACAGTTTTCCTCAGTAGTGTTCTTGGGGTGCAAGGAGCATTCATTTTAATTTAAATGAATATGAGGCCCAATATCTATATAGAGAAATGACACTATAGGCATAATAAATTACAAGTTTACAGAAGGCTTGAGATGTTCAGTACTAAGGGTAGGATATGGTGTACTGCACTGTATTCCCCCAACTATATTTTGATGGCCTGGGTTGCAACTTCTTTTTTTAGATGTATAGAGTATTCTCTTGTTAATTTACACTGTTAATTTGTGAGCTACCAAATTTCTCAATGGAAACCCTGTAAGGAGAGGAAACTTTTCTGTATACAAATGAATTTGTACATTAAAACCTTATCTAAACAGTTGAAAATCCTGGGAAGGTAAATTCATCACTTTAAAAGTAGTGTACTTCAGACATGTGAAAAAGAGATCATTTTTATCTGTGGTCCAGTGGTTTCAGTTCTGTCTCTTTTTTCGTGGTTCTTGTTTTTTCTTTTTCATCTTGTCCTTTCTTGCTGGTCCATTTGTACAATGATAAAAAGATACTCAATTCAACTGTTGCAGTAACTGCTGTAACTTTTTTTGTTGTATTTATCAACTTTTTAGAATTATTAAGTTACAATTCTTTCCAGCTACAATATTTTTTCCTTAATTAGACAACATGGTGATAGTGAGTCAGATGATAATGATGACAATGTTGATGAAGACAAAGAACAAGAAATTTTGGCTAAACAACAGCAAGAAGATGCTGCCAAGAAAGGGAAACAGGAAGATATGTGGGCTGCTTTCAAAAGGGATACTGGAATGTTACCATCAAAATCTTCAAAGGTGCATTATTTAAAATTGTGTAAACTATTCAAATAATTCTCCTGATTTACATTTAATAGTCAGTGTTAATTTTATGGCACATAAATTTGTGGGAGCATGTCTGGCAGTGCAGTTTATAGTCTTTGAAAAATGTTCAAGTGGTTGTTTATACCAAATTGCACAAGAGATCATGGTATCATTACTTTTTAATAATTTTTATGAAAAGCATCACAGATAGTCAAGACAGACAAAATTTTGATAGTGCACACACTATTTGTAATTTGCACTTGTGTCATAACTTTTTGCTAGTGTTACATGAAAAATGCACTAATTTTCAGCCAATCAGAAGCTCGTAATATTTTTTGTCTGGATTTATTTATTACAAACAATATGACTGTACATTTTGCATATGAGGTAGTTTAAGAGATACGATTATGACCTTGGGTTAACTCTATACATACATGTATACTAGATAATTGGATAACATGCCTTGACCAACCTAGTGTGGGTAGCTAAATCAACCATTTTTTTTAATACATATTGCCCACAGTCAAATTCTTTTTCTTTACATGTTAAATATCTTTTTGTACATTTATGATGTAGCCATCTGGCAGCTCAGATGAAAAAGTGTCTATCACAAGAACATACGACTTTGCTGGTGAAGCTGTAGTGTAGGTATTCCATCCAAGTTAGTGAAAAATTCAAGAAATTATTTAAAACCCTGTTGTTCCCTGCCATGTATTAACCCAATAAACCATAAAAAAGGATAAAAAGGCTCCTGGAAAAGTTGATAGTAGGGGTTTGATCTGTATTGCAAATGTTCAAAAGCAGATGTTATTCAGCATCTGTCCATTCCTAGGCATTAAAGACCTAAGATTCAAATAAGTAGATTGGTTTACTTTTCATATTTGAGATGCATGTAAAATACTTGTAGAGGAAAATCCAGTTCCCTGTTTTCATTTTTTCTTTAAGGTGTGCAAGGAGTGTTTGTTTTGTCTTGTGGAAAAGATATTTGATAAGTGATTGTATCAAACATTAATCACTGTAAAAGTGTTGTAACGTAGATTTAAAATTGTCACATAACCTGGACCTCCCACCCTCCCACACATGGCAGTAGTTGTTTACTGATGATTTAACTGATTACATGCAGCCAATCAGCTGGAAATTATGGTACCACATAGGATTATAAAATATTTCTACAGAAGTTAATTGACGACGCCCAACCCTTTTGTGGCTCAATATAGCTAAACCTGTATTTAGCAATGTCTAATTATTCCTTTCAAGTAGCAAATTTTGTATTTTAGTGTCACCAAGACTGTAGATGCCAATTCTGCTGAAGCAAAAAATATCAAGAAAGAAGAAGTCAAGAAAACAGAAGTGAAACCTGCTGTTAAAGATTTGGGCTCTTTAGGGTAACTTCTTAAGAGTAGCCATTAATGTAAGAAACAGTTTTATTTAAGAAAAATATGTCAGACAAGAAAGCTGAAATGTGTTTATTGCATATCAAGCTGTAAGTTTGGGCCAGTTCATACAAGTAACTTTATCAACTGGTTTATTTCAGATTTAAAAGAAAAGGAGGTCTTAGCAGTGTTTTAGGTCAAATCTCAAAGAAGCCAAAAATGAGTACTCTGGTAAGTGTTAATATGGGATGAGTGTTTTGGGAACTTATTGATTGCTTGATTGTGGCCTAGTCATTATTTGGTAAATATACCCCTTCAGGCTGATGAGATATTGTCTGAGAAATGAATATTTGGCTTTGAGGGCAAATGTGATCTTTTGAGGACAGTCTCTCAGCCAAGGACATTATCAGCCAACATATCAGCAAGCCAGAGATGGGTTTATTCATTTCATAACCTGTGCATTGATTTTCATCCTGTGCAAAAACTGTCAGGAGAAAAGCCATTGTTATTGCATGATACCTGTTCGGCAATTTTACACCATGTGACATAAAGTAGCCAATAAAATTGTGCAAAAATTAATGGGTGGGTTATAACTAGTGATATTAGCAAACAAACTTCTCTTGGTGAAGTAATTATGAAATGTTGATATACCAATTTTCTTGTGAGCCTCATATGATGTAGTGCATGATAATAATTTTTGATTTTCTCTTATTCTCTTAATATATATTTTCCACATCACAAAATGAGTTAGAGTTGGTGCTAGTTTTTAAAAATAAGAAAAACATTGATTGATGTAATTGAAGTAAACCATTCCATATTTTAAAAGAAAGGCATTACATATAGGGAGGTCAATGAAACACAAAATTTTGGTTATTTTAAGGAAAAATCAAAGCTGGATTGGGAATCATTTAAAGATCATGAAGGAATTCACCAAGAGCTTCAGAATTATAACAAAGACGGGTCTGTACATTATATTTTGGTTATTTCTTCACCTAAAAAGAACTATCCTAACTTAGAGGTAAAGTGAGGTCTACACACAAAGAATGTGGCCCATTCTACTGCAACTTGTATTGGTTTCCATGATAGTTATTGACTACACCTAGGAGTATTGCTAGTCTACCCTGGACAGGATGCCAATTCATCTCAGGGTACCCTGGCTAGGTTTCCTTTTTTCACTTTTCCCAAATAGTTTAGCAGTATTCACTTATACTCCCAAGGGAAGAGATGTAATGTGAGAGCTATATTCAATAGTGTCTTATGCAATAATACAACTTAGCACCCCAGTGAGGGCTTTAATGTAGAACTGTCAATCAGTAATCAAATGTGCCAACCACCTGACCACTGGGCCTTCCAGTTTATTTAGATTAGTAACATAACTTTGGTGCACGTCAGTCTAAAAATAATGTCATGCTTTGAATACATTAAGCTGATTACCCACTAATTACTAGGATTTTGTTTTTTTCTTAAAAGCGATTCAAGTGAACTCCATTGGCCCCTGAGTTAAAAAATATGCAACCAAACCTATGGTACCTGTTTTTTATACAATTTTTCACCTGTTTCTCTGTAGGTATTTAGAGAAGCAAGCATTTCTTCAAAGAACTGATGAAAGGCAGTTTGAAAGAGAGAGAGATATGAGACAAGGAAAGAGAAAAATGTGATCACCACCGTAGCCATATATATACTGTGGAACATGTCAAGAATTATTGAATTTAAAAAAGTAGTGTTGTCTCCCAACAAAACACAGAGGGAGCTTTGCCAGCCATGGCCAGGTAAAGGAGTTAACAAGTTTTTCATGGAGAGAGAAAAGGCACAGAAAGTTGGTGATCAAAAACTTTATCATAGCTTGTTTCTTGCTTTGTAAAACTGTAACATAAGCACTTCAAATTCAGTGAATGAACCTGTACCACCATTTTCTCCCTGTTCTAAAGAAATTAATGGAACACAAAACATCTATGTGTGTGCTGATTTCAGGCACCATACATTGGCAAACTTTTTAAAGAACTTTCAGTAGTTTGTCTGTGCTATTTTATGGCAATTTTGCATTGCCTATGACATACAGTGACACACTTTTATTTCTAGCACTTGACAGAAACCATCATTTTTTTTAGTGATTGAAGGTGGCACAATATTAAAAATTCCCTTCTGTTCCCTATCTAAATCACTTTGAAGCTAATGATTGTTTCAGCTGCTCTTAGGCATTCTCATGTAAAATGTCAGAGACAGCAACCTGACTCTCAGAATAACAAAAGGTACTTCCAAGATAACCAATGACCAGCTTCCAAAAATATCTTTCTGTGTGTAAGTTGTCTCTGAGTGATGCCAAAAGAGGGAGAAATCTGGATTCAGGATGTGTATCTTGATGTGCATTAACAACAACCAAGCACTGCTTAGAAAATGATGACAAGCCTGAGCCCCAAAGTTTATTTTGAGGGGGAATGAATGATAACTGGACTCAAAAGAATGACAAAAATCAAATCTTTGTTCTGTGTTGGGACATAGGACCTTGAAAGACTGAAACATGAGAAATTTTTTTATCTTTCACACATATCCTAATATGCATTCCCCTTTTACATATTGGAAAATGAGCAAAATGCAAACTTGTATCACATTTCAGTGTTTGGTATTTAGTCTGCATCATACTTAGATGCCAAATGGGAAAAATAAATAGACAAAAATTTCCAACTTTTAAGAAGTTGAAAAAAATTACAGAAATTATTGTTACATCTCCCATTTCAAGCTCCCTCAGCTCTCATTAATACAGACTCTTAGATCATTCAAGTAATCCACCAAACTAACATGAAAACACACACTATGGGCTAACTGCCACTTTAGGTTCCTTTGCAAACCCATAGACTGAAACTATAATTGAGTGACTAACAACCATTTCCAACATCCATTACATACTCCTGTCAATTCAAAGTAATATGCATTACAGAAAGAGACAAAGTCGCATGAATAGAGTTGTACCAGGAACATCTTGGTCAATGTTATTTTCTGATCTATTTTTCTTGGAACTTTCTGTTGTCCAAGATCTTGTATACATCCATTGAGTATTGAGGTACTGACATCTCGCACAATGTATCTCAGTCCATATCAGTTCAGTTCTGTTTATGTGCTGGTTAACTAAAATGCCCACAATTCAGTACAATTTGATTCATAGCATGCACTGTGCAGGTGGAGGGAGTTTGTCTTTTGCTGGTGTACAAGCTATTTTACAGAAACAAAATATGACCTGGGAACATCGTTATAATACATGGATTCAGACATGTGTTGTAGTGATATAGGTTGAAGTGACTGTGTATCTTAGGATTTTCTTGCTCTCAGATCTCTTATGCGTGATGATCTTCTCAAGGGAGTAGGTGGGATATCACTTTTTGTTTTTCCTGCTGATCCATTGCTGCTGCCATAGACTAACTCCCGGATGAAGGAAAATCTAATAAGGAACATCTTCCAAACGAAAAACCATCCTGTTAAATAAAGTTAGCTCTTTTTAAAAGGCAAAAAATGTGTCAATTCAGTTAATGTGTAAGCCATTAAGGGTAGTTATTTTATGCTTTTCAAGTTTACCTAGTTGTACTCCCCATGAATCTTTTCCATCAATTTTTACATCCATTAGACTTCCTTAGTTCCTTTTGAGTGTTTCTTCTCCAATAGGCTACATAATCCTACAACCAGTTGGCAAGTGCTAAAATGGCAAAACCTGGCCCCATCTTTCAATTACTCTCTATCATGCATGAAACTAATAATCAAATCTTCACCAACTGATTGTGAGAGTATCTACTTAACCCTTCAACTCCCATGAGTGACCAAGACAGAATTTCTCCCTACAATATCAATACAATATCAACCAGATAAGTGATGATAATAAAGAAAAATATCATTTTGGGGATAATTAGTTGATGTAATACTAAATTCTCTGGACTAACATTATAAGAATTGTAAGGCCAACAGTAAGGAGAATTAAACTTTTTGATCTGGGAGTTATAGGGTCAGTTGAACTTGCTGTTGATAGAGAGTCCTATGTGATAGGGGGAGTGGGTGAGTGCGATCACACAGTTTTACCCTGCTTAAATTTTACATATTCCTGACCTCCAGGAATAATTCCAAGTTTGCAATACGTGTTCTGTCAGGGGCAAAAACTATTATGATATTGCACTTCCAGTGAAGTAAAAGGGTATTTTTCCAGATTTAAAAATGAAATACAGTTAGTACTCTTTTGAAATAACCCTGATATGTAAACAAACATTTCAGCCTCAGGTCAAAGTTGTTACTATTTTGATTATGCTTGTAACTGAGATTATTAAACCTAAATGTGGCTTTGAATACAAATATGATTTTAGGGAAATAGAAGAATTATTAAGACAGGGTACATCGATTCAAAATTCAAGTGGTTTGCAACAGCCTATGTTCAAGCCACATGCAGGTAGAACACCGAACCAGGCTTCTCCGCGCTCGAAGATCGCGACAAGATCATTACACCATCAAACTTACCGAACAATATTACAATCACCACAGCTAAAATAGCGATAAATACAGATAAAACTGTCGCCAATAAACTTTCTGTAAACATCGCGTCGCTCTTCAATTGTCTACAATGGAAGCGTCGCTGGACGCTCCATGGCAAACACTCTTCTTCCAAATTTGGTTTATTGGTCACGTGAGATTGAAGAGCCGCATGTGACAGAAGAAACTAGAAGGCGATCGCACGGCTAAGGAAGAAAATGAGGTTTCGCTTCTGCGGAGATTTGGATTGTCCAGATTGGGTACTTGCAGAGATAAGTACTCTTTCAAAAATAACGTCTGTAAAGATGAGGCTTGTTTGTGCCCAGATGATCAAAGATTTGCTGGGAGAAGAGATCGACTACGCCAAAGTTGAGAAGTTGACATCGGATGCCAAGTATGAATTGTCAGATGTGAAAGCTTCAATTGCAGCTCTTTCGTTTATACTCTCAAGTGCTGCAAAGTACAGCGTGGATAGCGATTCATTATCTAACGAACTTCAACAGCTTGGCTTGCCTAAGGAACTCTCTACTGCACTCTGTAAAACTTATGGAGAAAATTTAACCAACTTGCAAAGTTCTTTCCTGCGAAGTAGTATAAAGCTGAACCAACTAACTGGGTTGGAGTGGAGAGTGGACTTCGTCTTAGGCTGCAGTGAATTAAATGAAATGGTGGAGCCAGAGGTCCAGCTCAGATTTAATGAAGTAGATAACAACAGCCACAGTGTACGACCTGTATCATTCTCCATGGCGTCACAGAAATTTAGTGTATTACTTGGTGAACTGAAGCAAGCGCAGCGAATAATGACAGGACTATGATTTCCATTGCCTCCAGCTTCAGAATCATTCTTTTTTATGATCGTCACAAGGGCCTACAATTATTTTTTGGGGCTGATTTTTTTCATGGCAGAATATGCTTTATTTCACACATTCTGAGATACTGTTGTTCATGTCTCTGATTGGACAAACAATGATTTTCACAGTCTTTGAGATGTGTTGGTCAGTGAGATAAAATCTCAGTATGAAAGCAGAAAGTGCTTGAACAATTGTTATTCACTCATTGTGATGTGTCAAAAAACTCACTTGTTTGCTGCGCCCACTTGTTATGTTTTTTGATGCATCACAACTCTTGAATTAAAATTGTTTGTACACTCTTTCCATGGAATGATGGTTATAAATGGTGTTGATATTTATGTAAGCTCTGTAGCACCTGCAGACAGTTTTAGTGGTGCAAGTATCTTGTTCAACACATTTTTGTAGAAATATGAAATAATTAATTCTATCATAAACTGAGGAATCTCGGTGGCATACTGTAGTAACCACTTAACCTGAAGCCTATGCAAAGGAGAAACATCCTCAATGCTTTGAAGTTTTCTTTTTTTTATGGAGCATTTAACTGGCAATAAATACTGACTCTTGGATAGGATAAATGGTATGATGCGTTGCTCCACTTCCTTGATAGTACTGTACTGAAAATGGTATGGGAAAATAAGAGCAAACATCACTGACTACTAGTTGTCCAAATAATGAAACAGTTACTAAATGAGAAGAAACTTTCATGACTTTGAATTGTCATCTCTCTTCACCCCAGTCCGCCAGGGGTTCATAAAGAGACATGCCTACATGTGACCGCTAAAGCTTTGTGCTTGAAGAATTAGCAGACCTTTAAACATAATAGTTGAGAAAGACCTTGGGGTGTAGGTAATAACTGGGAGCAGGAAAAAATACCCAGCTGTCAAGGTGATTTTCCAGGCTGAAAAAGATCATGCAATCTTTGAAATGGCTTCTTCTTTCTCCAAATATATCTTCAGTGAAATCCCATTTCTTCCTCTAACTGTGTGAGTATTAATTATCACTTTACCTGAAGTAACAGGATCTTAAATACTTGTTTTCACCATATTTGAATGATTGATTGTGTTGGGCAAGAAGCTCAATGACCAAGGTTGTTCCATGTACAATAATGATGACCCAGTTCGGTTAGGTGAAATACAAATGTGTAGGGACTTCGGCAGAAGAGAACACAAACAGCCTTGAAATCACATCCCATAAATAGAGCTAAACATACTTTGTATGTAAGAGTCTAACTTTAAAAATTCCAGGCAACATAGCAAGGGCCTGCTTTCAGTGAGTAACTTGTACTAGAAAGTAACTGTCAAAAGCACATATCTGTCCACATATAATTTATGCCATTTCCCTTGAGAACCATGAACCCATCTTACTTGAAGGTACTGTGCTGAAGGTGGATTGTGGGAAAGTTATGGAAAACAGGACACACCACTAAATTTCCAAATAAGGAAATGACTGCAGTGTGAATAGATAGCTACATTGGTAAGTCTGATGCATGTTCAGTCTCTTCTTATCCCAAACCCTGTAGAGGGGTACTCAAAAGAGATGTGCCCACATGGGATTAGGGCAAGCAGACAGTTAAAAGTTTTGAGCAAAGCATCACCCATAGATTTACCAAAGTTTGACACATCATTTGAAGATCTGTGTGCTCACCTGAGAGTGGGAGTAGATCTTCCTATCAGATCTTGCTAACTTCCTTTAGATGATCCCTCTTCTTACTGCTGGTTAAAGAGGGAACACCATAGGGACAAGGTTGAGTTTGAAAATGTCCAAATAAGGTAATTAAAGTTTAATGAGTGGTTATGCTGAGGAAGGGCAATTTGCACAAGGATATCTTTCAACCCTTTACATCCTAACATCAGTATGCATATTCTCCATACTGTTCTTGATACATTTCGTAAGGTGCTGACAAGGAAAATTTGTTTACTGATCAAAAGCTTATTTCATTGAAGATCATTTCCTTTATTCACATGACCTTTATGTGTGATATTGTCGGAAGAAATTAGATGCTAGGTCACTCTTAAGATTTAAAGGGTTAACCATAGGTTCCAGATTCTTTCAGTCAGTTGCTTTTGTTGTTTAATTAAAGACTTACTCTCATCTAAACCTCCCTCGGATTGCTGCAATTGAATAAAAAGGGAAAATATGTAATTTTGGTAGCTGTGGTAAAGTGATGCTATCTAGATATTGGCCTATTGCAAAAGTGAAACAAATACGTGGTTAACCTTTCATGTAAGATGCAAATTTTAATATTTACAAATCAGTGTCTATTATCAAATATTTCCCAAAATGGAAAGTATAGCCAGCGAAAAATACAGCCAGTAAAAAATACATTGGAGGTAAACTTGAAAGTTTAGGTAAACCTGATCTGCAAACAAGAATAAAGAATGAAGGTTCCCACACAATTCCATTGATGTCTACATTGGGCCTAGGGAATATAAACATAAACCATTTTCTTCTTATAAAACTTGTTTATATAGCTCTCTACTAGTCACATGACACGTGAGAAGTTGCTCCTTTTAGAATACTTTCTATAATCAAGCTATTAACAACATATTATAAAATGATTAAATTTTGAAGCAAGTGCTATATTACCACTTCCTTTAAAATTTGATCACATGTGCTGATTAATAGATTGATTGTTGTTTTCACAAGATGGTCATACATAAAATATCTACATCAATTATCAGGCTAAGCACTCTGTTGACGTCAAATGGAAATTACTGAAGGCAAAGGAAAAAAATTGAAATTCAGTAACTGTACATTCTTACTGTTAAATTTCTAACTCTCCTTTATCAAAAATCGTTCTAAGTAAGAGAATTCCCAAATGTTTGTCTTTTCCTTCAAGTCAATTTACACCTACAGATGACAGATACATTCCAGTGCAACATTTTACCCTGAGTGGTCTTCAAGTTTAGATAGACTTACAACACAAAAATAAAAGTCTTGAAAAAAAATGTGTAAAACATAATCACCATGTTACATTTTTGTCTAGTTACCCTTGTTGCTCTAAATGGGTTGCTTTGACTTCTTTATTTAATTAAGTTAATGTCTCCTAAAGAAATTGAAAAATCCTCAAAGTGTTCATTATCATAAGGGGGGAAATGTAAGAATTCTTCAAATCCAGGACAAAATGGCCTGATATTTAATTTCAAGCACCCAAAACACCATAAATTACAAGTACATGGTTCACTTTGTTCACACTCATCTTCATCTTCTAAAATATTACTCCTTTGACCGTACTGGGGAATGACCTAGAGTTCTAGGCATTCTTTGTGGTTTTCTTTACTATCTGGTACAACTCAACTGCAAAATTGTTTACTTGGACAACAGTTTCACTCATCTCTCGCATAGCATTTAATGCAGGGTACTGCAATGCTGCTGACTTCGTTGCACTCACTAAACTCTTGATGTAGTTGGACAGTTTGTTAGTCACAACCATTATTTCACTCCTAAGATCACCTTGTTTGATCCTCTTGCTCAAAGTATCACCAATGTAAACAAACTTGTGGGCACTTAACACAATAAACTTACTACTGGACACAAATACCTTTGGACTCTCATTCTTGTCCACAACAGCAAAAAACCCTTTGATAGCCTCACTAAGCACAAATAATTGGGCATCTATCTCATACTTGTAGAACTCTAAAAGCTCACGATCATTCAAAGACACCATAAATCCCTTTGTGGCACCATTGTCTTTGATCAAGTTTGAAAAAGGATGCTGATGCACTGGGCTAGGGGCAACATTGGTAAAATCAAAGAATAATTTTCTTTTATCTTGAAGTGGAAGAGTTGATGAGTGGCTATTACTAGCACCTTTCAAACTCTGGGGTAAGTCAGAATCAGAGATATGCACTAGGCTCTGCTTGAGTAAACTCTGAGCTAAGTTGTTTTTTTCCAATGAACCTTGTTCTTCCTTCATATCATTGTGATCTTGTAGCTGTGTTGGATCTGAATTACACTTTCGACGAGGTGTAACTGGTTCTGTTTCAGATGTCTTGCGCTCTCTCAGGTTAATGTCTCCCTTATTGTGATTGTGATCAGAGTACAAAGGAATCTTATAACTTTTTCTTGATGTATTTTTTCTGTCTAGTTTTGGTTTGGGAGGTGGCCCCATTGCTTCCATAGTTGTTGCTTCAAGAGGAAATTTATCTAAACTTTTCTGCCTAAGATGCTGGCACTTTTCATTGCTGTCTTTTCTCTGTGGGGGTGCTGGTGGGGATCTTGTGTCTTCTCCTGAACTGGAATCTCTACCTCTGCCTGTACATGAATGCAAGCGCATTGGAAGCTTTGGTGCTGAGCTTTCTTCTTCACTGCTATTACTGTTCCTTTTAGGGATGTCCATACCACAAACACGCCGAACTGTTGTAGGACTCCACTTTGCTCCATTAGCTGCAGGCTTGAAATTTGCATCAACAGTGTTTTTTAATGCACTTGTGATTAGTGTTCGCCTCTCCATTTCTGATTGATCTGAATCTGTCTCAGAGATTTTGTTTTGCTTTACTCTATGCATGTGGGAGTCATTACCAGGTTTCCTTTGATCTGATGGGGAAGCTTCTCCTTGACTTTTCTTGCTTGGTTTGCTGTAAAGTACAGTTGAAGCAGTACGAATAACAGCAGCCAAGTTTTGTGAATTCTCAGGAACAGAGCGGATGTGCACCATAATCAGATCAAGGTCATCATGTGTTTTGTCACTCTTTTCCAAAGCAACACTCCAACCATTTTCATCAAGTCTTTGCAATGCCAGTTTGACTGAGTAATATGTTTCCAACAATGGCTCAACTGCTCTGCTCAGCTTACCACTGAGCTCCTGATGGTTTGGAAGATTTCTTGCATTGACCAGTGAACTGAGGGCAAATTCTGTTAACAATCTCAAAGCCACTTTTGCCTTCCCAGCAATATCTCTGATGTCTGCTAGATGAGGCTTTAGAACTTCTGGGTTCCGCCATGTAACTGTGACAAAGCTTAACAATTTGTTAACTGCACCATTAACTGCTTGTTCAAGTTTTGTCAAACGCTGCAATGCATCTGGTATATTCAGCTTTAGTCCCTTGACAGCATTCATATTTATACGCTGTAGGATACTCACTTGTGTTCTTTTTGTGGTAGGGAGTCCACTACCTTGCTCCAGTGGAATTGGCTAAAACAGAAAACAGATGAAAGGATATGATTAAAAAGTGTGTTACAGGTAGCAATATTTCCAAGCATACTATGGGTCTTACTTGAATAAAAACTAAATTTCATTAGTCTGGATATGAAATAGCAGGAGGGTGATGATGAGTGCCTTTCTTTTGTTATTGCAATTGATACAGCTGAAAGTGATCATGACACAGATCTTTTTCTTGATTGTACTCTATGAAGACTGATAATAAATAGCCCCACTGTTGGTAATATTTATAAAAGTTATGAAAAATATGACCTCCACAACATTTTTGCAATCACGTTTAATTTAAATAGCAAGTCAGGAACTTTAATTTCAGGTGGGCCTTTTTGTTTCAAGCTCCCCCCTACCTTAAATACTGTACTACATATAGCATTAGCTCTAACTGATATTTGCCTAATTACTTACTTGAACAGGGACATCATATATACTGACATCTTTTACTCTGCCATCTCCGTAAATCTCTTGATAATCAACATAGTCATCATCTGAACTTATCTTTGCACTGTCTGAGCTAGATGTTGATTGACGCTTGCTGTCACCACTGACACCAGACAACAGATGAGATACACGGCTGGTTAACTCTGCACTGCTTCTGTTTTCTTGGGGAACAGAATGCATACTTCCTCTAGGAGAAGTACTTGCCCCATTCACTAGTCTGTCAGGTGCCTTTTCGTGATCAGTTGCTGAAGGAACATCATATATTTCTGCATATATACCAGGTTCTTCGGGAGCATGTGAGGGAAGTTCAATCTTAAAATTTTCTCTTGAAATGCCTAGATCAAGGACATTGCTGTTTTCTGAATTGTTATCAAGTTGTGTTAATTTATCTACACCAATCTCTTCTCTGTTCAGTGCATGCTGAGGAACATCATAAACATCTTGGGGAAAGTCATCTTCAACAAGTGCTGAGGGTACATCATACACATCATCACTTAATCTTTCAATTCCTGATGGCTTGTTGGTAGTTTCATTGTTAAATGAACTATTACCAGGAAGATCATTAAACTGATGTTCTAATTGCTGAATCTGTTCAGATGTGGGATGTCCATGTGCATCCAGTTTGTTAGCATTTGGTACATCATAATCAGGACTTGTTATTCCCCGTGGTACAGCATAATCCTCTAGAGGCTCACAAGACTTTGGTATATCATAATCTATCTCTTCAAATGTAAAATGTTCAGCAGGCTTTTGTGAATCAGGTGAATTTTGTTCTTCTAATCGTCGTTTGATTTCCTGTAGACGGTTTCCAGGAGCAATTCCCTGTTTTCCATGTAATGAACAGAGCCACCAGCCAACCAAGCCGTCCACATCTTGTTCCAGCACAGTAATGATGTCACCTTTTCTGAAGCTTAATTCATCAGGTGCATCAGCAAGGTTGTCAAAAAGAGCTTTGGCCAGTATTGCCTATGAGAAATGATAACTGCCATCAGTAAAGCACATAAAGTCTTTCCCAAAATGTCTCTACATGTTACAACTGAGAAATAGATTTCAAAACACCCATCCCATGTTATATTTAACAATGACTGATTTTTTTTTTCTTCAGTCTCTTTTAAATCAGCACAATTTTCAGAAGTGGAAGCATGCTTTTTATGCTCACATGAAAAAGTGAAAAATGAGAACCAAGAATGTGTCATGTTAACAAATCTTTCAGCCAAATAAAAGATATATTTTCTTTTGATTTACTTACAAAATGAGGGTGCAACCTTCTGTTATCGAGAATAGTAAATTTTTTGTCTTCACTGGAAGCAGAACTTTTAGACAATGAATTAGTTTAAAATATTGTAATGACAGCAGCACACTGAAATGGCTTCTTCACTGCTCGCAGATGTTTTTTCAGAAAAAAGTTTTTTTGGATAGACTACATCATTCATGTGAAGAAAAGGGTTCCCAGTGTTAACCAAATTAAGCCCTAAATCTAATCTACATGATACTACAGATATAAATTGAGGTGTTACATATACTAAATATATAATGAACATTTAGGTTTGCCAAAGTATACTTAAGAAAATACTTTAGCCAAGCCTAAAAGCGGAGCTGACATCTTTTTTTTCCCGCATGTCTCAAGGGCACAACACCTTGCCCCAGCCAGGACTAGAACCCAAGTCATCTGACTCGGAGCCCAGTGCACTGACCACTGGACTACTGGACAAAGCCATGGCGTTAGCGTGCCCGCGGTACAGTTGACCATGCATGTTAAAAGTAGCACCTTGTATGGTCGTACAGTTGTATAGTTGTACAGTTGTACATCCAAATTTATTCGGCTTGATGGGTTACTATTTTGTACAATTATGAGGCTATGCTCTGCAAGCTCTGCTATAATTTAAGCATTTTTTCCTTAGAGGAGGTGTCTCAATTGCTCACTGAAGCATTGAAGAGGGCAACACTATGATGGGAAAAGTTACCAAAGGCAAAGGAAAAACCTGCAGCAAAAATGGAAAAACCAGAAAATGTACTGAGAAGCAAGACAACAAATTGACAGACACCTTTCAAAATTACACTTTAAGGTGATTGTTAATGTTTTTGTATGAAGACTGGTATTTGCATAAATAAAAGGAAACCTCATTCAATTTTTTAAATCAATTTTTTAAATAATTTTTTCAAAACTGTACCAGTGAGCAGCACTCTGCAAACAGTAGTGGTACAAATTTATTATTCCTGATGCATTTCATCTAATTATTGTAGACTTCTTCAAGGAGTTTTACAAGTTAAAACTAAATGCCTGTATTTATAAGCTGTAGTTAGCAGCTCTATGGGGGGCAATGACCATAAAGGCTTGGCCAGACATGCAAACAAGAACAGACAAAGTAGTGAAAAATTTGAAAATTTTTTGAACACAGTGAGAAAAATATTTAGTTTTCTTTACACTTTCTGCTCATTTTCTCTGTACCATTGCTTTCATTCAACAATAAAGTAATTACAGTCTTTACTCTACTGGCTAAGAGTTCTTTCAGTTTCCAGCACTCTGATTGGTTAATTGTACTTTTTAGTGGGTTTCATGAGAATCAACAACTTGATCACAAAATAAGAATACATTTATCATTCTCTCTGACAAACTTCACTCATATTTATGCCAAAAAAGGCTATAAACCACACTTTCTATCAGTTTACCAGCAGATAAACCACTTGGGAGAGTGCTAAAAAAGTTCATAAACCACAAGGCTATGCCTCATAGTTTACCAACTTTTCTCGTGTTCTCCCAACATCCTGCATGGTTTATTAGCCAGCAAACCGATAGAAAGAGTGGTTTATTGCTTTAGTAATAATTCGTTATGACATGTAAATGATTGTGTGTCAGGGATGGTAATGTAAATATGTGGGGTTACTTAAATTCTTTGACTCACAGAACTGATTGTGATAATAGTACAATGACAAAAACACAAGAAATTCTTCAAATGCACTGTATTGTGCTGATATAATAACTAATGCTCAGAACTTGTGTTCTGTAGCTAAGGGACATTCAGGTAAAGCCGAATCCAAATGATTAAACCACGTGGGTGTAAACATTTGTGTCAAAAGTTCAAGGTTTTCGATGGATAACGCTTAAAAATAATTTCAACAAGTTTAAATACGGTAAAGATAATGTTTTGATTCGTTTACCGTTTTTAAAAAATTACTGTCTTCTGATACATTTAAGATTCACAAGTTAAACATTCCTTGACAAGTTAATCAGTGAGTCTATATCGCAATATCGATACTGTGAGAAAGCTTTTCAACAATACTATCAAGTTTGATGGCTAATCTACGAACAACACTTGATGTTTCACTTCTAAAACATGTTTCTTACCTTTTCCTGGGTTTCAATTGATAAAAATTTGATTGCAACACATACATCTGTACAGAAAATACAAACAATCACTCCGAGATTGTTGCTATTTTACATTAGATCAGGTATCAAGCGAGCATATTTCAGTACCTACTTCACGTTGTCTCGAACATCAAACATTAAAATTGCTTTCGTATGTTTGCTCCAAACTCCAGGAGGTAGGTTCTAAAAACATTACATATTGCGAATGCTTACCGGAGCGGTCATGTCAAACTAAAATTTGTCCCAGACAACTCCTTCAACAGCAATTGCCTTCCAGCGTTGTTAAACCTGAAAAAGATAGAGGACAAGAATAATAACCTGGCGAGCGACATGAAAGATTTCTCAACTTAATGATTTCTTTTAACATTGTCGCCTAGTATACTGACTGCTAAGAACAGACTTCTAGGTCATTATTACAAACAGTCATTACTACAAACATGCTTTCTGTTTTCGCAGTCAGTTCACGGACCCTTCTTCACGCACCTTCTGGGTCGCTCTCTAGTGCATTAAAAGGCCAATCGCTAGGCATTCAACGTTCTGACTTCAAAGATCGCCTTTGTTTCGGAATAGTTAAAGCAATAAAATATTGAAAATTCCTCTTCTCGTAATCGTTGACACAAAGCCACATTCCATCGCTAAATACTACAATAGTGACGTAGCCAACATGGCCGCGCCTCATTAAAATTTGTCGCATATTTGTCTCATACCATTCAGAAATCCAGAACATTACACATTGATTGGCCAATAGGAAAACTTCAAATTGCAGAAGGTTATATCTATTTTTGATGTGTAAACGCCAAAATGTCATGTTATTTTGTTTAGAAGACGTATAAGTTACGAAAGTAAAATTATATCGTTTCTGAAGATGTACATGCCACATTGTTTACTTACCCAATCGCACGCTGCGTTTTTGTCTCCACATTTAAGTTCTTAAATTGGATCTTTAAATTTCATATATGTTGGGTGAAATCGTTCTATGCAAGATTCGTTAACCAAGGACATCGTTCCACGGAACGCCTTTTGTCCAGAGTTTAAATGGACAAATTTTGGTCTAAACTTTCACATCTTGACGAAAACGCATCGGAACAAAACATCCACGATGTTTTGATGAACGCGTCATTGTTTTAAAAAACGCTTTTCACGAATCAAAACTTGTGTTTATTTAACTTACGTTGCTCTAAGTTGCCCCCGTTAAAATGAAGCGATTTTGCAATTTTAGAAGTGTTAATATTTATCAGCCTTGTGATCAATGATAACAGTGTATTCTCAAGCACTAATATGAACTATTATGAAATCGTCGCTAATTAATGTCATAATAAGACATTAGTGGAGGACGTTAGGGCCATGTCGATTGTCCACCGTTAATTTTCGTAGAAATAGTTAATTTCGATTTTAAACAATAATCAAATTTTATTGATAATTATTTTTGATTAATAGAAAATAGCGATCCCGTCCCCAGGGCTCCCTCTCTTACTCATCCCTTCGGACAGAAGTGATGGGCTCCTGCTTCGGAGAATTTCCGTTTCAAAAATACGAATTAACAGGACAGGGGAAAAGCGGGGAAAATCTAAGAAAAGATACGGTAAAGGCCATAATTAATCATGGACTGATTAGATCTACCACAGAGACACTCTTGATCTATCGCGTTACTGTATAACGCGAAGAGCAGAATTAGACAGTCAGAAAATTAGTTTCTCAATATGACTGCTTAACGGAAATAGAAATAAATAGAAAGGAAATTTTGCAATGTAGAATGAAATATCCGGTAACTGTATATCCTTATTCCTTTTTTCGTGTCCCTAGCCCCATCTTCCGCGCCACAACAAAAGGAGAAAGAACAATTACCATCGTTAATTAACAAATAGACTTGACTGTGCTCTGTTCTGTTGTAAAGCACGCATGAAGCAATAGATCATAGGTAAGAACCAATCAGAATGCGTGCATAACTGAGCTTATTATATACTCAACAAAATATCGCGTTTCTGATTGGTCAACGATGAATGCATAAATAGGTTATAGAGTGCAATAGAGGTTAAAGAGTGCAATACGGAGAAGTTGCCATGGAAACACCGATGGAGTAATTTTGTCGAGAATATAATAAATAAAAAATCGTATGAACCTGCTCGTGCATTTCGTGATTTATGGTCACTCGTGATGTTTTGAAAGTTCTCAAATTGCACTCGCCTAAGGCTCGTGCAATTTTGAGAACTTTCAAAACATCACTCGTGCCCATAAGTCACGAAATGCACTCGCGTTCATACGATTTCCTATACTTATTATATGAACTCTCATAGAGCACGCTCTTTCAAACAATGACAGCGCGCGTTATATCCGAACTTTATTATAATTCTTGTTACCAACACGCGGAAGATCCCGATGATCTAACATCTGTCAACTTCGGTTTCCTTTGTTTCACGTTTTTGCGGACTTTTGTTAAGTTACACTATCGTCGTAAATATGGCTTCCGGTAGTGGAAAAAAACCTATGCCGCTTCATAATAAAGAGAGTAATTATTTAGCAAGAGGACGGGAACAAGTGCTCAATTACAAGTGAACAATTTACGCAAATCCCAGGCGTTTTGATCGCAACGGGAATCCAGCAAAAATGACGTCGTGAACTTGTTGGGGAGAACTTAATTTAGCCAGACGACGGGAACGTCATTTCAGAAACACGCCTGAGGTTTGCGTAAATTGTTCCCTTGTAAACGAGACGATGCTGTTTGGAATGATTTCAAAACCCATTTCCAGGATAACTGGGTATATTTGTGAAAATTTACCGCTACATTCTTGCTTGATTCCCGAAAGAAAATCGAAACGACATGTACTAAAACACGGACGATAGACGGTAAACGACAGACGATAGACGATAGACAATAGACGATTAACGATAGACGACGACGGTAGACGGAAGACAGTAGACGGTTGACGGTGGACGGTAGACGATGGATAATTTTGCCCTAACTTTGGCATTGGCACTTTACGGGTCATTCCTTTTTTAACTGCAATAACTTCCAACTGTACAACAATAGGCACTGTTGAAATTATTGGCATTTCTCCTCTCTCGTGGTTCATGTATTAACTTGATTATTTGACTACTGATCACCGTCAGGAAGCGGTAACTGAAGAATGTCAGCGCAGAGTGCCATAGATCGAAAATGGAAGGTGACGTTCAATCATTTAGAGAATAGATTAAGTGAAGGGTTCTATGTTTCTATTGCAATCCTGAAATCAGGAGGTGTTTTCAAAAGCGCAACCACTCAAATAAAAGTTGTCCATGTTTATCTCTTTATGTCATGGCTAATTAAACGAGAAATCAAAAAAGAACTTAGCTTGCATCTCGTCGATGTTTAAAGCGACATATTAACGCCTGCAACCATTATGTTTAATACGAACCACGCAAACTTTTAAATACGCTATTGTTTTGGATACCTGCGATAGTACCCATCATAAGTTCCAGTAATCTGAGCGAGTCTCCCATATTATGTGCTGAGATTGGACTTTTCACCTTTATTCTTGAGCGGAAATGCTCGATTGTACTCCAAGTCAGAAAAACTTTCTGAATTTCCTCCCCTCCAAAAACTGGTATTCAAAACCTGTCCACAGTATTGTTTGTTACGATTTGTACTATAGTCGGGATGCGATTACTGCTCCCCGACAACAACAAAAACTAGTGTTGGCCGAGGTCGATGGAAAGAAGACATCACGAGATCTTGTGACTTATCTTTACTCAATTTCAATTCATTCCAAAGCATCCGTGTGTCTATGTACCGGTCGCAGTTAACTAATTTGGTTCTACTTTGATTCGTATTGCCAACAAATAACGTCTTGAACGTAATGTATAGTTGCGCATCATCAGCAGTAGAGTGATGACACATCCGATGCCGTTAAGCGGTTAAAAATAGCCTTGATGCAATCATTTTGATGATAAAAACTAACATTACGCTGTTCTGAGGATCGTCTTTGCTTGTTATGTAAAGATGTTTACGTTCACTACTGATTTTTTTTGTTTTGTTTTTTTTAAAAAGGAATAAAAATGGAATCACCAAGGAAATTTTACTTGATTTCATTTTTGAAAAAATACAACGTCAGGGTTTTTTCTCCAGATATTGAACAATATTGCGTGGCTACCCCCACTGCTCTTTCTTGACTTTGATAAGATCTAGCTGGCTTGCTCAGTCACTGGCCAGACAAAATTGGATTTCTATTTGCAGGTACTGTCCTTAATTAGGAAAGCTTCCACTGGATATCAATGTCACTCAGTTTGTATTATTAATTTGCAATACAAAGACAATTATTCAAGTAGCACAAGTACAGCACTGCAATGACGTATTTCTAACACAGCTGCAGATACGATTTTCTGTTCAGTCGTTCCTTAGTCACTGCTGCTGCTGCTGCTACTACTGCTTCCAGAAATATTCGATCCTGGAAATAAAAAAATGGGACGATTGAGTAAGGGCTCCCTTGTTTGAAGATAATGAGGAGTAACAATAGCCTCTCAAGGTACTACCAAAATCTGATCGTTGTATCGGATATCTTTTCCATTCATTTTATTACGGTAATTTTTTACAACAGCCACCTTGAGGACAGATCGAAGAAGCCGTGGCAAAGAGGGGGTCGTGATAGAAGGTAACTTCTTATTTCGAATGTTAGAACAGTTATTTCCAAAATATAGCTATTTCAGCTCTTAAGTAGGCAAAACAGCAAAATGTGCTAATGAAAGACAAACCAGAGATTTGCTGCACACAATTGCTAACTAAACCATACGGGAAACGCACAGTGAATAAACCACTTTGTGAAAAGTTTGCTTTGATATTGAGGACAATAAGAGAAGAGGTTATCCAGGCAGTTGTGACACGCTTTGTGGACCTACAGCCATTGTAAGGAGTTGGTACTCGGTGGAGTTCTCTCAAAGCTCTCTTAAAAAAGGAACCGAGCTATTCATTTCTTTTGAAGATAAGATACAGCAAATAAGTATGTTACCTGCTGTAATGACAACTCTTTCTCGCGCTCCTCTAGTCTTCTGCACTCTGTAGTGAAGACCATAATTAAGGGCAAAGAAATGACCATCCTTCTTTGGGTCAGTGCACACCCAGTAATGACCTTCCCAGGAAGTGGTGCGCCAGCATCGACCCTTGGCGAGATGCTTCTTAGTCTCACGGCGGCCTTGAGGATTGATCCATTCCAACTGGACTGGACACTTAACACGGTTCACAAATTTCACCTCAACAGGGACGGTCACGTGAGCCTCTGACTTCAAACTGTTGAATGAACTTCCTGAGAAGAAAAATAATCGTTACACTTTCTTGTTTTAAACAATGTTATTGATATTTATTCTGTAAACGTACAGTAGCAACAATATAAAGTGAGTTCCTTTTAGACCTTCCGACAATTTTAATGAGGCGCATACATTTTCCTGAGGAATGTTCCTTGAAATGTCTTTAAATTAAATGTAAATTGATTTGATGAAAGGCACAATAACGAAAACATTTGAGTTATTTGTTCTCGGTCAATTTACGATAATCTTCGCTTACAGTAAGAATTCTCACGGAGGACAAAATTGATAACGAGCAAGCACCTCTAGTATTCATCAATGAGTCTGTAAGTACTGTATGGTTCAAACGCTCGTAAAAGTGTTCTTCCTGTTAAGATAATAAATTCTCGTGTTGCTATGTTCCTAATACCTACAAGTGTTCGCATAACTTTAACATCGCGTTACAACAGACGCAAAACAACTTAAAACATCGCAAAGCTTTCATTTGACCTAAATTAAGTTTTAACTGAAGTTACATGATATGGGCCAAACAGTATTCCAGTTTTACCAATAATATTAACTGACCATAAGTGCACTTGACAACTAAAGTGCCTTCACTCGTAACCCTTCTTTACATGTTGAAGCCGGTTACTTTGTACTTTTGGTAACTGCATTCCGGTCAAGACTTATAACAAAGTGTGAATTCCTCCGTATTACTTTGTTTTTGGTATCACTACACCTCTTAAATTCTCCAGTCGGATGTGATGTTACTGCTCAGACAAATTCTGTGTCTGTTAAGTGTAATGCTATTTAACAATTATTCGCCTTCGGCTCAGTGATGCTCACTGAGCTTAGGGCGAATAATTGTTTTAGTATAATTTCTCAGGCTCAGTGAACATAATTTGTTTAATAATCTCCTCGACTTTGTCTCGGGAATTATTCAACAATAATATTCAGTGAGCCTGAGGCGTATAATTGTTTAGGTATAATTGCTCAAGTGGTTTCGAATTCTCTTGCAAATTCTGTAAATAAATAGATAAATTAGCGCCCCAACCATAATCACCTCGTGCGAGGTGATTAAGAAACCTTAAATCTTATATCATCTGTTGATAACTATCCATCCTTGTATTCCATATGATCAGGGTTGTTTCTGTAATCATTATAATAAATGTGGAAATTACTAGAAATAGTTTACACTTGTGTCACACACGGGAGTGCCATACCTGATGGTTTCTTTATTTCAACTTCCACATGCTTATCACCATGTTTGTGAGGGAAAACATAAAATACTGGAGAACCATTAATTGGCAGAGGTTCACGACTTAGTTTCCTACTGAAGGCCATGAAAACATGCGTCTCATAGGTGTCTACTGTCTTGCTTTGGCCTTCCTTTATATTTCCTTTTCTTTTCCTCCTTCCTCTTTTGTTGATCCAAAACAGTTTCACTTTCTTGCCTGCCTTGTTAGTGAACTTAACGGAGAGTGGATGCTTATCTTCTTTGGAGTACAGAGCTGCAGAAGTTGAAAAATTCAAACCTGATGCCAAAGATACTATATGCTTAACTAAAAAGCTACCTACAGGCTTCCTACACCAGTTCTTGCACTCTAAAATATTCACATTTATCATAACCACTACAAATTCTTCAAATATTATTGGTGCATTTGCAGCTTAATTTTTCACTATTCATTCTGTACAGTTGTCATTGGACATCAACTGTAATTGGACACCTGTAATCGGACAGTTGAAGCAGCTGATCATACCAATCCACTCAGCTAATCCACCAATCACAGAAAGGATCACAATAACCATAGTAACAACCACTTATCCAAAGAAAAAACTGAGGAATTTCCAAAATGGAGGAGTTTTCAACCAATGGCATTGTCTCCACAGGAGATATTTGTTCTAGGTGCATTTGTTTTTTTCAGAAATTGAAATGGTCATGATTTATAGGTAATAGGACTACTTGTTGTCTAATTCTGTCTGTAAACAAACAAGCAATTAACAAATTGGACTCCCTCCTCCGATTTTGTCAATCACTTGTATGATTACAGACTGAATTGGACTCCACTTGGTCCTATTACCATTATTAATTCAAGCTTTATCTTGTCTAACTAGAGTGTAAGTAGGCTTGGTCATTGCCAAAGCTGTCTTGTATGAATTACTTAATTAAAATTTAGAGTAAATTGTCAGCAACAGAGTGTCTGTTTGTTTAGTGACAAAACCAAATAATCACAATTTTTTTACTTCCATGGAGAAGATTTTTCTCAAAAAGGGTGCCTGAAAGTGAACAATTCCAAACTTTCCATTACACAGGAAAATTAAATGAGCATCTGGAAACAAGCATCCTTTTGTTTGTAATTATAATTAGATGAAACTGTTATAAAACAGTCTCATTTGATCAGGTGTTGGGTTAAGATAAGAAAAAATGCCCAACATGATACCAGCAAGGAATAGGAATATAGATAATAATTTGCTGTGATTATTGCTTTAAAGGGATTTTCCTCTGAAGAAAATATATTTCTCTCAACTGTCAGTTTAGCATCTCCTTGAAGTTAAACCCTGTCCTTGTTTGCTTCAATGATTATTTTTCCTCTGAGTAAATTTTTTATATCTATCACAATTTTAAAGAATGGTCCTTTAGTAACAATGCCTTTAAGGCGACAAATTAACAAAGTGCTGAACTGCTTTGCCATTTGACATGTATAGTCTATATGTGTACTGTGCAGTCACAACAAGAACTCTATTAGTAAGAGTGTCTTGACACATCTCTTCCTTTAACCTCCTCTTCAATCTTTAAAAACATACCAAATCCTGAAGGGTCACTGTCATCACTTTCCACATCCTGTGCAAAAAAAAAGGAAATTGAATTCAATCAATAATACTGATACTTCGTGTGTATAGATGGGTACCTACATCTACCATTAATAGGTCATTCTTTTGAAGGTAACAGTTCACTACAGATAGAAATAAGAAAGATGGTAAGTTTTTGAGCTTGGTAAAGAAATAGAGAAAGATGTTTTTTTTCATCTTGTCATGAGTGTGGGACAAAGAAAAAATTCTGAGTCCTCACGAGCAATTAAACCTCAGATTTAGTGCTCCGATGCTCTAACCCTTAGAGCATTGGAGCGTGGAATCCGAAGGTCTGAGGTTAGATTCCTCTCTGTGGCTCAGTGGTTAGTGCATTGGAGCGTGGAATCCAAAGGACTGAGGTTTGATTCCTCTCTGTGGCTCAGTGGTTAGTGCATTGGAGCGTGGAATCCAAAGGTCTGAGGTTAGATTCCTCTCTGTAGCTCAGTGGTTAGTGCATTGGAGCGTGGAATCCAAAGGACTGAGGTTTGATTCCTCATGGAGACTCATAATTTTTTCTTTGTTCCACACTTGTGACAAGACAAAAAAAAAAAGTGAATTCAGGACCCATTAACTTGAAATGAATCTAGTTTACTACAGCTTCCACAATTCCTTTAATTTTCCTTTTTTCTTGCTGCCTTATTGTAGTAATTCTACTGAGGTTTAAGTGAAAGTAAGCCCTAATTTGAACAAGGGAGCAACTGACTGAAGGATCATGAAAGCTGTTGTCATAAGATGTCATAGTGCAAATGGCACGAAAGTGGCTCCCAGGTTGGTCAATAAGAACGGGTTAAAATGATCTCTTTAACACTCAAGTCTCTCAGTCAGCACAAAATCTCTAAACACAACCTAACATAAGGAGTTATGTCCATTCAATTTGTCTTCAAATTGATTCAGAACATTTCAAGCAAAAACCACATCACATCATATTATGTCTTCTAATTAACAGCAAAAATCATAATTTTGATCTAGAGTGTTAAAATAATATAGAAAAAATATACTTTGTTAAAAAGTTAATGGGTCTTGTGGGCCAGAAATAAAGAAAGTTGAAACAAAATGAAGGGGTGGCTTCATATTTAAATATGTCATTAAAATAATAGGGCATTGATTCACTGTTCTCACTCATTCATTGCAAAAACAAGACACAGAAAAATATGCACTCTTCCCAGCCACATTTCAAGGTTAAAATGGTCCAAATTTCCATTTTGAATTCTATCTTTCCAAAGTTTGTGTGATGTTTATGAAAGATGGTGACATTAAATGAAAGGGAAATACAATTTGAAACAAAGATAAAATTGAATCATTGTACCTCAATTGCAAATGTATTGTAACAATACCTCAACCAATAACACAGGAACACTTACCACATGTTTGTTACCAGGGTGTGGTCCTGGTGGGAATGCACCAAGGTGTGGTCCAGGTGGATGTGGTCCACCATATGCTGGAAATGTCCCTGAGTGTGGTCCTCCTTGTGGAGGGAAAGGTCCATGAGGTGGTGCTGTGTGTGGCCCACCAGGGGGAAAATAACCTGCAGGTAAAGGACCTCCCTGAGGAGGGGGATAAGCTCCTGCAGCTGGTCCAGGATAAAACCCTGCAGCAGGAGTACATGGTGGCTGAAGAGCAATTAAAAAAACATTTAAGGTCAAGAAGGGATTGGAGAGTGATCTCCACTCTACTTTAACCACAAAACATGATTGATCTTGACTGGCAGTTAACTTTGTTTGTATCTTAAATGAATTCAGAGATTTTTTAATATACAGGAGAAATTTATAAAAGATTTATCAACACTTCATAACTCAAAACCAACTAAATGGCCCCAAGTTTTTTCACAGACAGATGATGCTATCCACCAGATAAATCGCTATCTGGTTTGTTTAGTTAACGATTTAACAAAACTGGATGGAAATTCAACCAGTAGAAAATGTTGCCTACCTTCCAACAACTTATGTTAGCTTGGAAAAGGAATTTGTCCATTTCATAAATAAAAAGCATGTGACAAAATAATTGTTGCCCCTGTGAAAACCTACCATTGTTAAAGTGTTTAACCAAAAATCTCAAAATGTACAAATTTTGTAACTTCATATCACTCATGAGCTCACTCAATTGCTGTTGCTCTTGAATTTTGTATAAACACAAAGATAATTAACACTCCTTTTAACATAACACATCTAAATTTTCAAGTGAGGGGCACAAAGGTTAGACACTTGGGTCTTGCTCTGAAAGGAAGGTTCTAGGGACCTTCTTTGATCAGCAATAAAAATAAGTTACAGTGTTTGATTACCTTGTAACAGGTAAATATTGCTAGTTCTGACTGTGAATATATGAAAATCATATATTTGAAGTGCAGATTAAGAAATGAATATCAAAGTGCTCTTCCCAGTATTAAACACTAAAAATTCAGGCCTGTACTGGAATTGAACCTATAACCTCTGCGATACTGGTGCATGCTCTAACAACTGAGATAACAAGCCAACTGGGAGCTAGTAATTATGTTGATTCATAATAAACCCAAGAAGTGATGATTAAATGACTGTGAATATACAAGAAATGAATATGAAAGCCCTCTTTCCAGTAATGAACTGAACTTAAGCAGTAATGAAAATAAGACCTGAAAAACTCTACCACACATGGCTAGTTCTGTCAGTAACAGTCAATTTTTTTTTTTACTCATTTAAGTAAACAACTATTGTACAAAGCTTGACATTACTGGGTATGCAGCCTGTGCAGGTGTGGGCGGCATGTAGTATCCTCCAGTTGGGTTATAGGCTGGTGGTGCAAATCCCTGCATTCAACAAAAAGACAATCAACTCATTATCTGTATAATTATAATACTACCACTCACTAACCAACTTAGCAGTCTGTTGTGCAAGTTTCCACCCTTAGATTTATGGCCCAATAAATAACAAGTGAGGCATGCAGGCCATAAATCAAAGAAGGAAAAAATGATAACAAGTAATTTTAACGGGAAACCAAGATGACAAGCTTTGCAAGATGTTCATAACTTTTCTATTTTGTGTTTGAATTGTTCAGGTAACAATTTCTGGTCAAGAGGAGGAGCTTCAAAGGAATGTTTCATAATATACACAAAACAAATTTAGCGATAAATACTCAGTAGTAGGCATGCTCTGACACACAATTTTAAGATAATGAAATATTTTGATTTTATTTTCACTCTTACCACAAGTACAATTTCCAGAACAAAGAGAGTTTAGCAAACAAAAACACCTCAAAATGCCAACAGGCTGAGCAAATGAATTGACAAATCACAGCATACAGTATAACTGAGAGAAAAAAATCCACCAAGAATCTGACTGTGCCTTTTTAGAAGCCTCATGGTTTATTATTGCTACAAATTAATGACTGGGAAAGAAATTTAATTTCCAAAGGTAATGATAGTCCTATTTAAACAGCTGAGTTATCTCCAGAACTGAGAATTTCTACCTTTGGTATAGGAAGGGGAAAATTCAGGTTTTGGGTTTTGAGGTTTGCATTGTTTTCATGTCTGTTATAAAAATATCGCTAAAATCCAATTATAGGCTGCAATGTCTAAGAATAAATTTTGTGCACAGTTAATCAATTGTGTCCACCTTTGCTCATAATACTGCACTCACCTGTGGGTACCCTTGTCCGGGGGAAGGAGGTAGGTGTTGTCCGGCAGGTGGATAATACATATGAGGGGGAGGGTGAGGGGGATCACCACTCATGCTGTTTTAGGCTAAATAAAATATATTTAAGTAGATTAGCCTCGACATTGTCAAAATATAACAAGGTGTGTGTGAAAAACTATGGGGCTTTGTCGCTAACCCATGTGCATAATCGTGTCATCAAACAGCTGGTATTTCTTGCGCAATTTCCTGATCTAATTTATTTAACACCCTAGGAGTTTCGATGCCTTATTTATCAACGTATAGCCCCTATTGGAGGCTTAGATAAGTAATAATCAAATATGCACTGTAACGAGAGCTAGGTTATACGAGAGCTAGGTTATACGATATATGTCAGTGCATTTAAGAACGAAGTCCAGACTGAATGGATCAATAAAAGTTTCCATCAATGACCAACTGGGATCTGTATGAAGCTTATTCTGAGTAAAATTTCCGCACAGTCCCATAGTGTTGTGAAACAAATCTTTTTTCATAACGGCAATGTATTGTTTTTGTCGTTGTTTTCTTTGTCCAAGAACTGAATGCACAATGTAGTAAGGGACTGTGCGGAAATTTTACCGCATTCTGAGTATTTAACATGGACTTACCTTCGACGAAGGAACGAGCAAATAACAAGCAAGTAGAAATAACATCGACAACTGTCGACGATAAATTTTAGAAAAATTGTTGAGCTTGCAGATAGGAGTAGTATGTGTGTCATGTAAGCGCATTTATCTATCATCCTGTGCAACCGCGAAGAACTGGGCAGGAGTTCAAGAGCCAAGGCGAGGCCATCATCAGTTTTCTTACGACCATCTGATTCTTTGAATTTCCCCCCTTAAAAATTAACTCTTGGTGTTTTAGAGAACTCTTTCTTTGTGGAATACATGATTCGATTTTTGGGACTTTCAGTGTGTTGGGGGGAGACTAGGATATGGCAACCAATTGACCAATTTGAAATGGGGAAGCTTCAGACTTCCACTTTGACCAGATTTCATATTGAGGATTGTAAAACCAAAATCAAAGTTATCCACCAATCCAAACCGAAACCAAAGTCAACCACCAATCAGAACAAAGGAAAATACCTTGGAGAGCCAATGAGAACTCAATGGAAAAAAACCTCCTACTAATCAAAGTGTAAGAAAATATAGTTGGATAAGTTATGATGGGTATTAGTTGTGCATCCGATTGATTGAGACAGTGGCAAGGCCTTTTTTTAGACCAACTATAGAGTGAAGTAGAGCAAACCAATGACATCTCATATGACTTTAAATGCTCAGTTCTTAATTACTCTATAGTGTTGAGAATAATCATGCAAGCAGGACACTATTCTTGCTTGTAGTATAGATATCTTTCCCTATGATTTTCTTCTTCCTCTTGTCAATAGCTTTTTTGTATTCAAAACAGTCTCATAGGTTTTTAAATGAGAGGAAAAAAGTTATTTGTGTTCTGATTATCTGCTGGAAACAGACTGATTGATATAAGTACAAACAGCAATCTGATAGAGTGTTATGGGACCTTAACAAGTTGACTTAGACTATTTAGTAGATTAAACCATTTGACCATTTTAATACAAGAGCTGGATCAAAGAGAGTGGACCCTATTTGTTACTTTCACTTGCTTTTATTCACTATAATACAGTCATTTACTAAACAATAAACTACTCCTTTTGAAGTCACTAAGCTAATGAGTATATCATTACCCATCTTTAAGCAAGATAACATGACAAAAAACAGATTTTAATAAAATGTGATAGCAATAAAAAATATTTCAAAAAATTCATTTGCAATGAAATACTATTTTTTGCTTACTCTGCTACTGTAACCTCACTTCCCTTTGACTTCAACTGTTTTATATTATTATTATTGTCATTATTCTGAGTGCATCATTTCTCTCTGTGGTTGATTCCAAGGAACAAACATGCTGGTTATTAAAGAGTAGTTCTTATGGGCATGTTGTGCCTACACTGCAATCAACTTATTCATGACAGTCAACCTTCTTCTATCGACTCTCTAACACCAGTTGGCCCTTTTGAGCTGAGTAACTTTCTGGTAATCTTTCCCCAGGTTAATCTGCTCTCCTTAGGGAGGAAAATCACTGCCCTTGTTGACTTCAGTGACCCTTGGCTCAGTGTGGTTTACTGTCAAACCTGACACTTTTTTAATATGGGTCATAACGAAGATGATTTCTGGGTTTTCTGGCCAGGTCAGGATGATATTGAGAACTATACCTGTAATAAATCAAAGTGTTACAGACACAAACACATGGAGATTGGAAGGAAAGGTAGCATTTTACAGTTGGAAGAAAGAATAGGAGACTTGATTGTAAAGAAATAAATTCTTAAGGACTAAACTGTTTCTCCCATGTCTTCCAATACTATAAGATGAAAGAGAAGCAAAACCTATTAATTAAGAAACTTCAATTCTCATAAAATCAAATGATTACATAGAGCTTGGTTACCTATAAGCTGTGTAATCATCTTGTAATTTTCCTCCAGAAATAGATGTACCGCTATCTCCTCTAGCAGAAGCCAAAAGCTTCCTTTCTCGTTCATGTTCCTCTTGCTCGCGTTGTAATCTTTCTTTTCTCATTTCTTCCAAATTTTTCATCTGTTTTTTCTTAGACTTTGCCTGTTTTTCCTTGTGTTTCTTGTCCTTTTGTTGATGTTTTCTGTCCTCATCTTTGCTATGTAATTTCTTTATCACAAGGTATCTGTCCATGTCTTTAAGAGGATCTAGCAACTTCTTTTTCTTACTTTCTACAGAGCTACATGGAACAAACAAAGAAAACATTATTTTAAAAAAAATGGGTAATTGTGAAGAACAACTCCTTGAAAAAAAATCCTGTTGGCTGACTGACAGCTGACAGCTGGCTGGCAGTTGGCAATCTGCTGGTGATCTGTTGGTTAGTTACAACTATTTTTTCACAACCTGTCCTTCTTTCCAAGTGTTAGCTAGATTCTTCAACTCGCACAAAACCTTTTCCTGCTCAAAAATACAAGAAACATTTGAAAATAAAGTAGTGTTCTGTGAGGAGACATGAGACATCCTTGAGTAACCTAAAAGACAGGGTTTGAATATAACTGAAAATCTACACACAAAACAGTTCCACAACTTGGAATTATCTGAAGTATAGCAGATGCACATATGCTATGCAGCAGAGATGAACCAAGTACCTTTCACTTGCTTCACTCAAATTCATTCTTTCCTGGTGTGATTTCACATACCACAGTTTGCCATCTGCAGAATAAAACAAAATAATTCATCAACAGATCAACAATGTTATTGAATGTCTCTGTCATAACACTCCTAATCCAAAGAATTACAGTCAAGTCAGCAACAGTTCAACTAACCAACACCAACACACCAACGTATTAAATCAAGTAGAAACATCAGCGACTTGGTCTTCAATCCAGTACAACTTATTAGAAGTTAAACATGTAGAAAAGCAAAATATCTCTAGTAAAAAACAGTTTTTTCCACCAAAGTTTATAAGGATCTCATGGAAAATAAAGCAAGGTAAACATCACCAATGACTATAAAAGCTTCAGGCATGAATGAGTTACTGTGTGACAACAGCACTGTAAAGACTCAACATGTCAATCGGTCAGTTTTTTTTAAAAGAAAACTTGGCTTTCTAGACAAGATCTTGAGTAAAAACCAATTCTTTTTATTTCCAACAAAGTTTATAAGGATCTCAAGGCAAATAAAGCAAGGTGAACATCACCAGTGACCAAAAAAACTTTAGACACTAACAAGTTATTGTGTGACAACCATAGCAACCACATGGAATCACATTTTTTTAACTTAAAAGAATGATTTATTCAGGATAAAGAATGTTTGATTTACAATAAAATTTGATATATTATAAAGATTAGGTTTGGTTATCCAACCATCCAAGAAACCAAGCATCCTCAAAAACAATGACGGTCATGTTACAAACCATGCAGACTGGATTATCAGACATTTTGGAGTGAATTTCTCATAAACATAGACTTGTTAACACAGTTGAATGGAGTCCCCACGACATACACTGCCTTTTATAGCGTTGTGCTAGATAAGATTTTTCATTAGTTAGATTTGATTGGATAATATTTACAACTACAAAGGAAAATTGAGAAAAATGCAGGTCAAAGGTTGCATGTCTTAGTTTTCATTATGATCTCAACTCAATTTTTTATACAATCTGCTGACTGATCGGTTACTTAAACTTGTGGTAATGTTACATCTTACATTGTAAAATAAAGAAGATATCTTCTACAAGGAAAACCAACTTCAAGTAAAACTTTTTATTGCAAAGAATTTAGGAAATGTCTGCTGTTTACTGGCATTGCCTGGTATTAAGTAAACAACTTCAAAAGTGATCTACGACATCTCCACTTGATTTTATACATTGGTGAGTCGGCGTTGGCAAGTTGAACCATTGGTGACTTGACTGGATACCAATCCAACAAGACTTTTTAGTAACCAAAATCACAAGTAGCTGTGGATCCATCATTTTCATTCTCAGTTTGAGATTGTTCAAATCAGTTTAATTTCTATTTTCTAAGTCTAGTAAGAGGAGGAAAAAAGGAAGTAAAAAATCAAACTGGTGTGAAAAGTCAAAATAAAGAAAACATTGAACCACAACATAAGTTTGTCAAACAGACAGCTACTGATGTAGAAAACCACTCACTCTGAAAGCAAAACTTCCAGATTTGATATATTAAAAGTTTGGATATAAATTTTATAAAATTCATTCACATAGATTGGAAAAGCATGTTTCATCAGGGTACAAAATGCCAAGCTTAATAGCTGTCATTCCATCTGTACACATTACAAAAAAGAGCTACAGAACAACCTGTAGCTAACACCACAAATAACATAGAGATAGAGCCAGCAAATAGCTACAGAGGAACCAAAAAAAGGTTTGTAGACATGATAAGTGCCGTAATTGACAAAATTATAGTCTGAACAGAGACGAAAGTCTCCAAAGAGAAGACGAAATGGACTGTCTGAGTTTTGAAGATTTTCATTCATTTAGATTATCATTTAAACACATACAGTAATAAAACTCAAACACAGCTAACAATTGTATAGTATATATTGTTTTGTGTTAACAAACAAAACGGAACAGAACAGGAATTATGAAAATTATAACCACAATGGCACAACTTTTAAAAATTTATACAAATCATGGTGTTAAAGCAACTACCATCATGCAGTAGTCCATCCCGGCTAGCTCACCATGAGCATCTCTGGTCATTGCAGAAGCAAGCCTCAGAAATTACATTGTCCACCCTTCAAGTGAACAACTAAGAGCTTGTTTGATATCCTTTGTGATGTGTTGCATGGATGGCCACATCAGTCATAGCAGCCAAGATTTACAGACACTATCACCAGGAGCAATCTTCATGTTCCTATGAATTCAGCCGCCGTTCATTCATAAAACACACTCCTTGAGGATTTTGTTTTCTACTAGTTCTGTTTAAGAACTTTTGTATTTTTATTCACCACAATTCCAATGGATTTCACTGAATGGATTTTGCATATGTTCTGTTTTGTTTTAAAGCTCTCAGGAAGCAGCTAGAGCACAAAAGAAGAAGGAAAAAACACTCTACCACATCTCATACTTTCCCCAACCCTTCTTTTAATCTAACTGCTTCCTGCATACTTTAGAACAGAACAGAGCTTATTCAAGGCTTCTTCAATTGTTAAATAGATTGTGAAATCTGTTTTTAAAAAATGCTGGGCTTGCATACCATCTGAATCTCTTTGACTCTGTCCAAGGTATGTTAACAAGCCAATGGATTTTTCTCTTTTCTCTTGTTCAGCTTTCTTTTCAGCTTCATATTCCTTGTTACTTCCTTGTCTGAGCTGTAACAACAATATGCAAGTAGCAAATTCAAAATTAGTACTCTTAATAGTATGATCTTTTCTACAAAGAAATAGCACTAAAAAGGGATACATTGGTAAGAAATACTTTTCGGAAGTTAACACCACATTTTCTCAGCACAAACAACTGCATATCTTGTATTGACTTTCATTACTCTGCATGATGAATACCTTAGTTTACATTATCTCAAACCCCTATCCGCTAGAAAATATCCCTGAATAACTATTCAAAACTTGCTGAACCATGAAGTGCTATGTAAGAAACTTTAGTAATATTATGAGCTGCTATATCACTCACTCCTTCTTCAATGTCAGCAAAAAAATTGAGATGTTGTGGTTTGTCTTTAACAAAAACAACAGTATTATCTTGTGATACTCCATCTTTAAGCTGCTTTCCACTGGCACGCCCCCGTAGAAGGGCTGTTCTGGCCTCTTGTTCCTTGAAACAAAAACAAAACAAAACAATAAACAACATCAAGCTTTTAAGATATGGTTGATGATTAACCTAATATTGACCCTAACTTATTACTTATTCTCGCTAGAAATAAAATTCTACAACATTATTATCTGCCTCGTATGGCAACACTTAAATACAAAAAACAGCACTCACGGCTAAAGAACGTCTCCTTTCCCGTTCTTCCTCTTCTAATCTTGCATTTTCTTCATCACGACGCACGCGTTCAATGTTATCAATGTTACGTACATGCCAGCTAAATCAATAAAGGCAGATACTTCTTCATTAATGATAAATTTTATTTCCTTACTTAAATAAGAGCAAAGTAAAATCCTTAAAGCAACAAATTCTTCAAGAAACTAATCAATATTTCATCATTAAAAAATAACCTGTCAATCTTTCTTGGAATCGAGAGAAAACAAACTTCATTAAACGTAACATCAAACGTTTTCAGCTTGCGAACATCTCAAGGACTAAAACTGATACTAGCTTTATGAGATACTTTATTGTTAAGGCTCGAAAAGTCCTCTAAGACCTTCTAAATTACCTTTTCTTTGGTAGAATGTTCATCTTGTTCCTTTAAAGACCAAAACGAATCACCTCAGGCCTTTCAGTATGGTGATCGCTGGAGTACTTAAAGTGACGAACATTGAGTCCATAATATTGGTGGCAGTGGTTTTGAAAAAGAGAATAACCGCACGCATATCTAGAAGCTTATGTTTCCGAATAAACGTTATTTGTATCGCGGGCGTTAGAATTTCGGCTTCAGACCGACTCTGACCCATCAGGCACCGTTCGAAAACACACTTAAAACGAGAATAATTGTTGTAAGCTAAGAAATATATAAAGCGATCACACTGCACATCGTGCGAGGGAAAAAAGTTAATCTCTATGAGGCCGGCGCTTTGAGCTTGAGGTCCTTAAACAGCTAATGAATGTTTGGAAAATGAGACATTTGCAAAAACGAGCAGCAGCAACCCTGAAATGTTACATCAAACGCAGTTACGCAACAGGATCCAAACAGGTTGAACTTACGAGCACCCGATACCCAGGGCTTAGAAGAGGACAATACTCGGAGGTAAGGGACAGTGTTCTCTAACTCTGATTTAATCTGACCCCACCCTTGACTTCACCCCTCTAACCCCACACCACCTGTACCCAAACCACCCTTACAGTCTGGCCTACACACCAAGATCTCGAATTTTCAAAAATTAGTTCTCAAAGCCAGGCTCTCCTTACTTTACAGGGCCTCCCCTTCTAAATCTACCATTGTTTACACACGGTGATACATTATGGCAAGGTCCATAAAAAAAGTGCGTTAATTTGGGTTTGTATCAACATTTGTTGATCCAGTAGGGGAAAATGGGTAAAAAGAAGGAAAGTGATTTTTGAATAGATCATGCTACTGGAATGTGATTGGTTGTTTCATTGTAGTGTTTAGTTCTCATTGGTTAGGGGAAATAAGTGATTCAGAGTAAAAACTGGTGGGATTGGTGAATAAATTGCACCATGAGTGTATAAAAGGACCTCTTGTTGCAGCGTTTAGATCACCCCTGATGAAGGTATGAGACAAGAGTGTCAAAACATTGGGTCTATGAATTCTAACTTCTTGGTTACATTCATTAAATCTTTAAACCAGAGTAGCATCAAACCATGTCTGACTGTCCACCTGGTTGCTATGTGAACTTTAACCCTTTAACTCCCAGATTAAATTTGTAATTCTCCTTAATGTCAAGCATACAATCTTTATAATGTCAGTTCAGAGAATTTAGAATTGGATCAACTAATTATCCCCAAATTGATATATTTCTTTATTCTCACCACTTATCTGCTTGATATTGTATTGATATTGTTAGGAGATATTCTGTCTTCATCACTCATGGGAGTTAAAGGGTTAACATATTTTCAATTGCACTGTTGTGGACCAATCTGATTGCAAGGATCAACAGTGACTCGATGATTTTGTATTTTTTCTAAATTGAGTGCTACCTTCTTATTATGCAACATCCCTGTTCAGGCTTAGCATTGTAAAGGCAAAATATTTGATGAATATTCTTTCAAATAAGCATAGAATATGGTGTTTATTTTTGGAAATATATTAAATAAGATATATTTGGGCCATGAAGAAGAGAATGACTTTTAAAATTATATTTTAGCCAACATTGCAAAGGGGAAGCTCAGTTCTTTTACCCAAAGGAGATAATGAACGGTTGTGTATCAAACTGTTCCCTTTTTTAACTGTAACATTTCTTTGTTATCATTTATAGAAATTTGAGGATTTCTGTTAAGGTGTTTTCTTCAGATAAGCTCTGCCCTAAAATAACAACAGCACCTGAATCAAAAAAGGAATTTCACACAGAGCAGTATTTAATCAAGTAACTATAGCATATTTCAAGAGAAATTAGCAGGGTTGTTCATGGAGTAATATACTACTTCTTTTATTAACTTTGCTGTATATAGGTAACAGATGAAGATATAAGAGCTTTTGAGACATTTGTTCCTTCAAGAGTTGTTACAAATCTGGATGAAATATTACCTCATAATGTTGACTGGCTTAGAATGGTCAGGTAAAGATGTATTAATCATAACCATTAGAATTTCCTCCAATGTGATTGGTGCATCAGCTGCTTCATTTTTCACTAATCATTCTGTACAGTTGTAATCAGACAGTAAAATCAGATAGTTGGCTGTAATCAAACACCTGTAATTGGACAGTTGAAGCAGCCAATCATACTAGGTCCACTTGGCTAAATCCACCAATCACAGAATTGATCACAATAACCATAGCAACAACCACTTATCCAAAGAAAAACAAGGCTATTTCCAAAATGGAAAAATATTTAACTAAAGAGTTTGTCTCAACTGGAGATATTTGTTCTAGGTGTATTTGTTTTTTTGGAAATTGAAATGATTATGATTAATTGCTAACAGGATTTCTTGTTGTCCAATTCTGTCAGTAATGATACTTGTGATAAACAAATCAGACTCCCACTTTGTGGTCATCCAATTTTGTTAATCACTTGTATGATTACAGACGAAATGGACTCCACTCAGTCCTTTTACCATTATTAAATCATTATCATTTTAAAACTTTTAATTTTCTTATTGGGATTTCTGTGCATACAAGTAAGACCTTTAAAGTAGTAATTTTTCATTAATGGTCACTCAAACTAGTTTACTGGTTAGATTTCTATAATGATATTCCACAATGTATACGACAGACTTTTTTCATCCAATTAAATGTATTCTTTTCTTGAAATATTTGTAATGTTTGTACATGTACTTTAGGCTAAATATCCTAAGCAGCTTTGGTCAGAGTATGCTACTGAGGAGATTTTTTTCACACTGTAAATTTTTTGTGTTAACTTTTAAGCAGTTTGGTCAGAGTATACTACTGAATATATTTTTTCATAAATGAATGTAAATTTTTTGTACTAACTTTTAACAAGATTTTATTACTGTATTCTTGAGTTTATGATTATTTCAGCCATCAGTTGTCAAATTTAACTCACTTATTGGCCTTGCATGTTGAAATGTAATTGCTGATTTTTTATACCATCTGTACCTAAAACATCATTTAAATAAGCACTGTTTTGATATTAACTTTGTGATCACAGTTAGTGTAGTTTTGATTTCAGTTTTGGGAGTCAAGAGAATTACTGGGGAAGATTGCTGACTGGTGAGAATTTCCCTTTTTTTTTAATACAGAGGAACAAGCAAAATACTACTGAAACCAAAAACTACAGAGGAAGTTTCTCAGATCTTAGCATATTGCAACTCACGCAGGTTAGTGACACTAGTACTATTGCTGCTGATGTATATGTAAGAAATCTATACAACATATCCAGGTGCAAACCTTAAAATTTTGTAGCTTTCCAGTTTTAATGTATGCAGTTTCTCAGTGTTTGGGTTAAGAATAGAGATCAGGTCAAAATGCCTTTGGTGAATGAATTGTGAGAATACCTTTTTCTTGGTCTCTCAGATTAGCTGTAGTCCCTCAAGGGGGAAACACTGGATTAGTTGGTAAGTTACATCCCTGCCAAGTTGATAAAACATGTGCAGTAGCATATTGTACATGAAGAAGACTTTAAAGGAAGACAGTGAAGGAACTGCCTTTGTATCTTAAACAATTTACCTTGAGTTAGTTTTTGTGGCTACTGCCTCCTATAGGAGGTAAAGCCACATGTTATTGAAATGAGTGAATGAGTGATGGCAACAATAGAATGCCCAACTGTTCAATACAAATAGAGGCCTTCTTTAATGTATACAAATGTCAAGCCGTGTGCTAAATCACTTTGGTATTTATAACAAGGTAGCAAGTATGTAATGTCTCTGATTTTGTACCCAGCCTTCCCTCCCTACCTGGGGTAAATAACAAGATGGTCTTATTATTTCTTATACTTATTAAAGTCACTCAGAATCCCAGAAAGAGACACTGTTTAATTAATATGCATTGATAACTCTAATTTTACCTTTACTTTCTCACAACTTCAACAGGTGGCAGTGTGCCAGTATTTGATGAAATAATATTATCCACATCATTAATGAACCAAGTATTGAGCTTTGATGATGTTTCAGGTAAAAATTGAATCTTCTAATCATATCAGGCTTGGCATTTTTTATACTTCTTTAAGTTCCTGCCTTATGCTCATGTAAAAATAAGGATCAACTACTAAAGGGAACTTGTCACAACCATGCAAGACCACAGAAGAATACAAAGTAACAATAAGTTGTTCACAAATAATTTTACCCACAACTCAATAGATATTTACTATGTATCATTAGGTATCCTTGTCTGTCAAGCTGGTTGTGTTTTAGAGTCATTGGACAAATTAATGGAAGATCATGGTTTTATTATGCCACTGGACTTGGGAGCAAAAGGAAGGTATGCATACTGTAGCATGACAACGAGTGGTTTGTCATTTACTAGTGGTCCTGTGGATGCTGTTTTTCTTGAATCAAAATATAAAGTAAACTAGTGTAAGTCATAGTAACCTATTTTAAATGTAAAAATTTCAAATCACAGATGATATTTATTCCCTATATGAGCTTTACCTGATGTTGTCATGACTCTTAGAGTAGATCATAACTTACTTAACTATCATTACTGAAGAAACAATTCTCTGTATTCTTGTGACTGATTTTAACAGTTGATTTCTCTCCTTTTTTTCCTTTTTCACATTGCAGTTGTCATATAGGTGGCAACATTGCAACAAATGCAGGTGGTTTGAGACGTCTGAGGTATGGATCCTTACATGGCAATGTTCTAGGCCTAGAAGTGGTAATTACTGTTTTATTCATTCATTGCCGAAGTTAAAAATTGATAACTGAAGAAAAGACAGAATGAATTAACAAGCTAGTGAGTAGGTTAGTGAATCAGTGAATGATAAACAGAGAGACAAACAAACAGACAAACAAGCAAGCAAACAGACAAACAGCCAGACAGCACTTAAAATGAAGAAGCAACAAATTATATAACAGTTGCTCATAACCCATGATAATAGTTTTCTTTGCTGTACATTGTTATTTCTTATCTGGTGTTTCTGTTGTTGAATGACAAACAATGGAATGATATGGAATTTTTTGTTAATGTTCAGGTTCTTCCTGATGGTATTATACTTGACTGTCTTTCATCAATGTTAAAAGACAACACAGGTTTGTTGAAACTGTCAATTTGTAAATACTTTCTGTA